CCCAAGTCAGCTTCTGCTGAAACTGACCAGTGCTGACTACAGGAAGCCCCACGCAGAGTTGCTCTGCCCCGGGCTTCCTGGAATCAGCTGCTGATCAGTTTCAGCAGCAGCTGACTTGGGGACGCCTGGGGTTCTTAAGTTGATTCTGTATGTAAGTCAGAACTGGCGGTCAGTTTCAGCAGTGTCTGAATCTGGACGCCAGTTCCGACTTACATACAGATTCAACTTAAGAACAAACCTACAGTCCCTATCTTGTACGTAACCCGGGGACTGCCTGCATGTGTACTCTGAAGAACAGTCTGTCTCTGGGTACATTTAGTATTTATGCTTGCAGATTGAGAGCCACCCATACCTTCCTCAGGAAGAGCTGGTTAACTATTGCCAGTCCCAAGGGATCTCTGTCACTGCTTACTGTCCCCTTGGAGCACCCAACTGGCCTCAGTAAGAATGTTTTCTATATCTTGTTTTTTTCTAAGGAGTGATTTCCGTAAATCAATATTCATATAAGACAGTGTTTCTCAACTAGTGGTACAAGTACCCTTAAGAGTACGCAAGAGAAGTCAGGGGTGGGGGGTGAGGGTTACATCAACAAAACTGAAATTTGGAGAAAATTGGAATTTTTGTTTTAAGTTTTACAGCGCTTTATTATTTTTGTACTTTTTCCACCCAAAAATGTAATCACCTGCCCAGCTATGATTAAGTTGTTTAAACAAATGTGTTGCAATGGTAGAAAAAAATTGTGGGTGTTTGAAAACTGTAGGTTCTGGGGGTACTTATAATTTTTTTTAAAAGAGGGTACTTATGAAAAAAGGTTGAGAAACACTGATATAAGACAGAACATGGATGAAATAAAATTATTATAGATCACAAACCATAAAATTCCTTATAAATCTTCATAAATACATAGAAACCATCGATCACTTATTAGATACAGTGTTTCGCAAACTGTGCTCCACGGAGACCCTGGGGCTCCGTGAAACATCTCCAGGGGCTCCGCAAGGTTGACAAACTGGAAACATGGATGGGTACAACACATACAATCTGTGGACCACTGGGGCTCCGCATAAGTACAACACATACAATCAGTGGACTGCTGGGGCTCCACATATATTTTTACGCATGTAAAGGGAATAAGTTTGAGAACCGCTGTATTAGATTAATGTGTACAGATCAGTCTTACTGGCTTTATGTATATTAATAGAAAAATGAGCAATCAATTTGTGCATTCTTAGTTGAATTTTGATCAATTTATTTAATATTCTTTAGTAACTTGATGAAAGATTACAAAACCATAATAAAACCCAACATAATGTCATGAAAACATGACTTTTGTGCACCTATGTGGCAAACATTGTTAGCTTGATCTGGATTGTCTCTGGGTTTAATCTTCAAAACCCTGTTTGGTCTGGAACAAGACAACCTCAGAGACAACCATTCTCTACCCATTCCCTATGAGGGAAACCGTGCTCATGAAGGCTGAAACTGTTGAGAGTGAAAAATTCAGCTGTTCACAAATGCCCATTCATGATAAAATAATGTGAAGAATGGTGTTTAGGAGTAAAGAGCAGCATGATGGAGTGAATTAAAGTATGCCATACATGCTTTTGTTCCTAAATTACCAATTCTCTTATGAACCGTAGGATGTTTAGTGGTAGAAAAACATTATAATCTTTTCCATCCAAGTGTCTGCTTTTTATTCTTGTAGGCCCAAGTCTGAGGCTATTTTCCTCTTAGATGACCCCAAAATTAAGGAGATTGCAGCCAAGTATAGTAAAACCTCAGCTCAGGTACGGAGTCATTATACAATGTTTGTTTCCTTTCTAAAATGTCCTCCTCTTATGTTTACTAACATCTTTCACAAAATAATTGCACCCAGTTCTGTCCCCTGTTATGTTTCCTTTGAAGCATGATACTTTTAATATATTGTTTTCAATCTGATTGCATTGCAGAGGAGATAGGAAACAATTAATGAAAGCTAAACTGTGTGAAACCTAGGGCCTTTGCTGAAAACGGGGAACTGCATCTTCCATATGCATAACCATAAATTAACCTCACATTTTCAGTCAGTGGCATTCACTAGTTGTAATCTTGGTCTCATAAATACTAGTGATTAAATGAGTATGTTCTAAAATGAGGGTGTCTCTGCTACATTGCTTCCTCTTGTTGTAACTCTTTGATCTAGAGGATTTAGTCACTATGGAATGTGAAGGTAGGTGTGGCATTCTCTTCTAAATTTGAAAAACTTTCCTGATTTATTGCTGTAGGTTCTGATCCGGTTCCACATCCAAAGAAATGTGAGTGTAATTCCCAAGTCTGTCACTCCACATCGTATTGAGGAAAATTTTAAGGTAATGTTGCAAATAAGATACCAATTGATCCTGGTGCATGTTTCTACGGGAAACCTGAAACACCTTACCAATATTATCATTTCCCCTTATCCTTAAAACAGGAAATAAGTGGGCTCTCTCAGGTATGACTTTATGATAACTCATGGTAAATGCTGAAGGGTTTTTTTTGGGGGGGGGGGGGAGTTGAAATGGTGATCACTGAGCTTACATCATTGGAACAAACTCATCTCTGCAGTGTCCTTGACCAAAAGCCACTTAAACTTACCTCTTGTATAGCTAACTGAAGCATCTTTGTGTGTTTGCCTCTCTCTTACTCTCTCAACTTTTAAGGTGTTTGACTTTGAATTAACTAAGGAGGAGATGGAAACCATCCTCAGGTTTAAGAAGAGATATAGAATCTGTTCCCTAACCACGTGAGTGTCTTCTTATATCTAGCAGAATAAATGACAAGTCTGAATTTATTTGTATAACATTTATATATAGTGAGTGGAAAACTGAACCATGGACCCCTAATAAAATGTCATATTCAGAGCCCCTGCAATTCCATGCTAGCATTCACTAGAAAACTAGTCAGGTTGCATTCTTTTGTGGAATTGTGATTATTTTTTTAGGGTGCATCATCTTAAAATAGATTTTAATATGTAGGTTCCAAGCTACCATGAGCTAAACATGTTAGCAAATTAAAATATGTACAGCTCCAAAATAATGAGTAGTCCTATGGCACCTTAGAGACTAACAAATATATAGAATCATATTTTTGTTAGTCCTGTGGCACCTTAGAGACTACTTGTTTTTAAAGTTACAGTCTAACTTACTGCTATCCCTTTGGGAGCTCCAAAATAGATAGGCAGCTGATTTCTCAATGTTTTGCTACTCATGTGTGTGTAAAATTACAATTTAGAAATTAATTCTAAATTAATTCTATTAAATTAGCCTGTCCTTGCTAACTTACAAGGCCCATGTATTACCTATCCAGCAATTACTGAAGTAATGTCTGTATTGTCGAGTGGTTGGACCCTGAAATTTTAAGAGAATTCTCAGCTCTACTATTTATTATTTTCCTAAGTTAACAATCTGTAAATTGATTACATCATCCTTCTTGTATCTCACAAATGTGTGGCTTAATATTGCAAAGAAATTTGGTAGCCTCAGATGAGGTGTGCTAAATAAGGCTATGTCTAGACTACAGGGTTTTTTCGAAAAAAGTGTTAGTTTTTTGAAAAAACTTCACCTGCGTCTAGACTGCCACCGCGTTCTTTCAAAATTAAATCAAAAGAATGCGGCAGTTTTTTCAACAGCAGTAAACCTCATTTTACGAGGAAAAATGACTTTTTTCGAAAGAGCTCTTTCGAAAAAGGCGTTCTTGACCACAAACAGGGCTTTTTCAAAAGAGAGCATCCAGATTAGGTGCTCTCTTTCAAAAAAGTGGATCGCTGTTTTGAAACAGTTGTGGCTGTCTAGACGATCCCTTTTGAAAGAAGCTTTTTTGAAAGTCTTTCAAAAAAGCTTCTTTCGAAAGAAGCGTGTAGTCTAGATGTGCCCTAAGTGACAAGTACATATGTTCCTTCTGATATCAAGAGAATGTAAAAATCTGAAATTAATCTACAGGGAAAACTATATTTTGAACAGACAATAAATCCTGACTATTTATATAGCAGAATACCCTAAACCTTTGTTGATCACAAAATGCAGGGGGAAGGGGTAACAGTTATCCTGTAACAATTAGGACACTGAGGAAGGCTGGATATACTTTAAATGTCCACTACAACTAGAGGTTATAAACAATTCAGACTCCTTTCTTTAATCTTGAGATTGCATCATGGATGATCCTTGTAGTGCTGACTGTAAGAACTTTAGAATAACACTCTCTTTCTCTCTCTAGAGGCAGAAATCACAAGGACTATCCTTTCACAGAGGATTAAACCTGGATTTTTTTCCAGGACTTAGAAGGATTGTATACTACTGATTCTTTAGTTCAGTTAGAATACCATGTTCACATGAAGTTCTATAGGAAGCTTAAAGAACACATCCTGAAGACTGTCCAGTTTGATTCCCTTACATCTACTATTGTAGCCCTTTAGCTGTTTGATATTTTATTTTTATGATATAAAAGCATGTTTTCACCTTTAATAAAATGTATTCCACACCCTGTCGGTAATGACTGGTAAACAAGTTTTAATAATCATTGGCTAATGGGCTTTATGAAAGTCTCTAGCAACTAGACTGACCAATAACTTTTGTAGAAATATTAACCAAATGCTCAGGACATTTGTACTCATTTCTTACTGTAGTGCTGGAATCTAGAGTGCAGTATTAAAACTTAATTTCATCCACGAAGATACACCAAACACCTAAATCCCTAGGCATGAAACAGCTTATTCAGTTTCAAGAAGCCTTCATGACATAAACGGGGTTATAGCAGCAATGAGTTTACATCCACTTAAGGGAGCAGAACATTTGGACTTAAAGCTGTTTGGGTCGGACTGCGCATTTTATAGTATCTAATCATATGGAATGAATCCCCCATATTAATTACAGCCTGTAGGTGGCACTACACTATTGCTAGTGAGCCCACAAAAGCTCACTGAAGATTGAAATAGGCACTGTTGAGCTAGTTTATTGCATATCCTGATGAACCAGCTGCGTGTGTTCTAATCTCCCATTGCAGCCGTCTCTCCATCAGTCTGCTGGTGGTAAATAGGTGTTCTGGACAGAAAGCTGAATCCACAAGACTCCAGTGAAGAGTAGATAAAGGTATGGGTGTGGGGAAAGAAGCATGATGTAGACCCTAGAGTAAGATTTACCTCAAGTATATTCAGTCTCCTATTGTGAATCCTATTAGTACAGCTTCTACTTTCCTACAAATCTACAGTAGCCTCCACAACTAGTGAGGTGCTATCATTAACTTAGGTCAGTCAAGTTTCCTTGCTACTGAACTCTTAGCTAGCGATTGAAGTTTGAATGTCACCCTGTGAACCCTCACAGCAGAGTAAGGGGACAATGTTGAGTGTGTGATTAGAATATAGCAATGGTCACCAACCAGTAGATGGGGATCTACCAGTAGCCCTCAGAGCCTCTAACAGGTGATCTTGATGGGTTTGGCTAAGAAGCTATCAAGCACTGGCACTTCAGTTGCCTCTCCCCTGAACTATCATGCTACTCCTGCCCTCTGCCTTGGAGCTGCATCCCCCCCCCCCCCCGGGGGCCCCCCCCCCCCCCCCCCCGGGAGCCTCCTGCTTGCTGTGCAGGGTGTGGGAGGAAGAAGGGGGGGCACTAATGTCAGGGTGTTCCTCTTCCCCACCACTCCTGTACCCTATCTCCATACAGAGAGAAGGAGATGGAGAGAGCTTGACAATGCAAATCTCTGTCGCTCTCACACAGTGTGTGTGTCTATCACTCTCACGCTGTCTTGCATTCTCATCTCCCGCCCTAACACATACTTGGAAGTTGTTACTTCTGTTACTGCTTGCAAAGTGTGGTATTTTTGCTTTTTGACTGGTCTGTGCATTTCATAATTTTCATTTCTCTCTTACGCTTAATTCTTTGAGTAGTGAGTTCTAAAAGCCTAACCTGTCCTGGCTGGAGTCATTATCCCTGTGGTAACTGCTACTGCTGGAAGTAGTTGGCATGTCCCGGAAGATCCTGATAAAGGCAGAGCAGGGGGTCCCCACATGCTGTCCTTGCCTGCAGACACCACTCCTGCAGCTCCCATTGATAAGTAACAGGGAACCATGGCCAGTAGAAGCTGTGGACTCAGTGGATGAGAAGTGCACATGGGAGCCATTGCAGTACATGCCAGCTGCTTTCAGGATTGGTGCAGGGCCATGGCAGGAGTAAGGCTGCCTTAGCTCCACTGCTCCAACAGCCAGAAGCTGTCTGAACTAAACAGGGCCCAGCCCAATACTGCTTTCTGAACTCCTGTCCCAGCCCTGAGTCTCCTCCTACACCCAACCTCCTGCCCCATCCGTGTCCCCCTCTGCAGCCAAACTCCTTCCCAGACTTTGCACCCTGAAACCTCTCCTGCATCCCAATCCAGACTAAGCATAGAGCCCCTCCCACTCTCCAAACCCCTTGGCCCAAGACCAGAGCCTGCACCCCAAACCCTGCCTGGTGAAAGTGAATGAGGATAGAGGAGAAGGGGGAGTGAGTAGGGTGAGGTCTCAGAGAAGGGGTGGAGCATGGGTGGGGCCTCAAAGAAGGGGTGGGAAGGAAGCTGGGCAAGGGTATTTGGGTTGGAGTGCTTACATTGCACTTCAATTGAAAAAGGTGATCTTGTGGTTAAAAAGGTTGGAGACCACTCAGGCATAGGCTGAGAAGCAGACTGCTTTACTAGCACACTTTGACTTTCAATAGGTGACTTTTTGCACTGCAATTTCTGTATCCATTAAACTGAAAATCTGGCTGGGAAGAAAGTTTGTACTGATGGTATTCTAGAAATCTGAGCACTTTTTCCAATTCTATCTTCCTCCTGAGCATGAAGGATTGGGCTGGGAGACCAAACAAGCCCTTTGAAGCAGAAAGGTTATGTTACAAGTAGCACAACTTCAACATGACCCTTGAAGAAGCTAGATTCTGTTCCCTTTGTGGGAGAGATTGTGACAATAGAAAGCTTTGAAGCATGACAGCATAGCAGTAATGCCAATGATGCTTTGATTAGACTATGGTATGAACAGCAGGTAGTGCTCTGTCTTGTATTTAAGAGGCACTTGAGCAGTAGGCAAAGTGCCCTAAAGCAATAGGAGTATTTGGAAACCTGCTTTGTAGGCCAGTAGCAGGCAATACTGACTCAACTATTGTTCCCTTACTCCCATCTAAAGATTAGTAAAATGGAGGATTCATGACACGTAACTAGGTGTCTGTGCACAAGGTTATTTGCCAACCTACATGCTAGTGGAGTTTCACATTTTATGCAAGGCAGTAGAGCCAGACATGCTGCAAAACATTTTAATCCCTATTTTCTGAGGGCCTAAGCTCTTCATACAGTGCTGTGTCCAGGGTGGCAGTTTAAGCTGTTATTTATGCTCATGAGGCTAAAGGTATTATTTTCATCTCACCCCTTCTACTGGTTTGTTACTTAACATTTTGTGTGTGTAAGTATTTAACACTTTTAGGGGAGCAGAACCCTAGAGACCCAGGTATGAGGATCTGTAGCGGTCTAACTAGACTGAGAGAGAACACCAGCATGTTATATGGAGACACTGTCTTCTTTAAGATCTTGAGAAAGATGTGAGCAAAGGAAAGCTGTCTTTAAAAACCCCCTACCCCACAAGCCTATGCTATCAATGGTATCAGCTTGCCAAGGGTTGTTGCTGGTTCTCCAGCACTGAAGATTTTTAAAGAGATGTTCATTCACCTACAGCTACTGGACTTAAACAGGCCATAGGACTTCATGGAATGGATTCCCCTGTCATGCAGGGGGATGTGCAAGAAGCCTGTAGTATAGACATAGGCTAAGAAGCTTTATGCAGAAGAGATCTTCTGTGAAATCTTCTTGCACAAGAGAGTGTGCACACTGCAGAAGTGCATCCAAAAGTGATGTGCTTTTATGCAAGAGCATCCAGACTGCATGGATGCTCTCTCAAAAGAGTAGTGATAGAGATTCAGCTCTTAGTCTGGTCTACCTAAACAAGAGACAGAACTATGTTGCACTTTAAAGAACAAGACAGTGTATTAGGTGATGAGCTTTCATGGGCCAGACCCACTTCCTCAGATCAATTTGTGGAAGAAAATTGGCATGACCATATTACCAAAGTGATACAATCAAATTTTAGAACAGAGTGGGGGGGAAGTTAATGACATTAGGGGTGATAATTAGAAAGCACTGATAGCTAGTCACAGCATGGCCACCAGGGCACCTGTGCATTTTTTGCGCACAAGAAACAAAAACCTGTTCCCCATCCACATGCACCTTTTTGCGCAAAACCCCCTCTGTTCTGTTGATTTACTTGCACAAAAATGCGCTTGAGGTGTGGATGCTCTGAGTTTTTGCACAAAAATGGTTGTTTGGTGCAAAAACTCTGCAGTCTAGATGTAGCCTTGGGGGCTGGTGAAGAAGGGGGAAAAAGGGAGTCATATAGTCCCATATAGTGCTAATATTAAGACATTAAGGCAATTTAAGACAAGCCTACAAGACATTGGTTGAATGCAATATTGTTTATTTCACAAGAGACAAAATGTCTCTATTACAGCATATTGAGGAGAAGTGACAAGGGAATACAGACTTACTAAAACATTCAGCCGACTACATTTACATTAGACTTTGTGGCATGACAGTCATCTGATTAATAGTATTGTATACCTCCATGCATTGAAATCATCATGGTTGATGGCAACGCATGGTTCAGGAATCCAGAGCTGTGGCTGTGTTTAAAGCAGTGAGATCCTACTAAGGAGAAAAGTCTCATAGAAAGTTCTAGCAAGAGCTTCTTAGTGGTGGAGAGGACTACATGACTGTGGCAAGAGCAGTTTATCAGAAGTAACTTAGTCCTTAACCATTATTTTAATGTTTAGGGAAAACTGCAGACAGAGGTTGAGTTCCTGGGGTATATTCATGCAGTTTGAAGGACTTTACATTCATATTTTAAAGAGATACTTCTGGAGACAGCATTGCTATTTAGAAAGCTATTAATCATTGTGTTAACATCTTAGCTCAGCCACAGGAAGCATGCAGCCTATGCAAGGTGAGATGAGTTATACTTCATGCTATCCAGGGGAGGAAATGCCTCTCCAGGATGATAGTGAAGCACGTTTGAGCCAGAAGGTGCAAGTAACTTCATTTCCTACACAAAGCAATTCAATCTAGTGTCGGGAGATGGATGTACAGAAAGGTATAGGATCTGGAAGCTTATGTGTTACTTATTGCAGCTCACTAGTCAAAGACCTTTTTCCTTGACATTTATAGTGAGTATCAGAGCTGATTACAGAAGCTATTTATTTTCCCCAACCTCATTCTGTGGTTCCCTGGCTTCTTCTGGTATTGTGCCAGACAGCAGGAAGGGTCCCACAAGCCAGGACAGAGGAGTATTGTGCACAATGTACTCTAGTAGTTCATCCATGTACTCCTGGGCTTTGGTCACCTTTTTGCGGCTCTGGGTCAGGATACTGCTGGAGAGATCTTGGAAGGAGTGGACAGTGGAGAAGGAAGCCTGGAGCTCTTTTGTGCTGCAACGAACCTCCTGCACCTTATCCTGGATATTGGACGGGAAGCCTTGGATGCTGGACAGTAGGGTCAAGCAGGTTGCCTGGAGCTGCTGGACAATGCTCTGAAACATTGTCAGAGCACGAGACTCCAGTTGCTGAAAAGAAACAAGTTAGTGAGGTAGCGTAACAGGTAGAAATGCCACAACCCAAAGCTGGATCCTGGCTAAGTAGATACCTCAGATTGTACCAAGTCTTTATCCTCATTCCCTCCTGTCTGCCTCTTGCTCCAGTCCAGCCACATCTGGTGGAGTTTCTCTTGGCCATCTTGAAGTGTCTGATCCATGCCTTGCTTCACATATTCAATCTGAAAGGACACATTAGTCTGACCACAAGTGTTTGAGCATTTAAAAGATCCTGAGGCCTCCTCTGTGGAGAAGAGGGCTGGGCTATATTTCAGTATGTTTGGCATATGCCAGATAGTATTGATAGCAAAGATGCCCATAACACCCTCACCCACCCCACTGAGTGACTCCTTTGCAACACCTGCTTTCTTAGAGATCTTCTTGGGAGACTGAGTTAGCCAGGTGCTGCTTTGCTTGTGAAGTTTGATGGAACCACAGCATTATGACAGGGGTTTGCTGCTTGCCTAGACTCAAGTAAGATTCTTAGGAAGCAGCCAGGTCCAGTGAAACATGGGTAGTTGGGGAGAACAGGAGAGCCTAGACACCTTGCAGAGAAAACACTTTGGTCTCACTCTGTTCAGCTCGAAGTCAGCTTCAGAATAAAATGCTGCAGAGAAAGTGCCTACCAGATCAATGGTATGATGAAGCTGGGAGAGCCCTTCTTGGATGCTCTGCCTGGTATTTTTTATCTTGGTTAGAGAATGCTGGTAGGTACGGTGACGGAGTTTGCTTGACAGGGAGCCCAAGCGCACAAAGTAACTTGGATGCTGGAGAGGAGCCACTTGTTCTGTCTTTATAGATGTTGCAAGTTCAGCTGAAGGAAATAAGTGGGTTTGACCAAAAGCACCCCAATCTAAGGCTGTCTACACACTGGCGTGATTTGCGCCAAAAGCAGCTGCTCTTGTGCAAAAGCTTGCTGCCTGTCTACACTGGCCATGTGTTCTTGCGCAAGTAAACCGATGTTCTAATGTACAAAATCAGGGCTTCTTGCGCCAGAACTCTAATGCTCTCGCTCAGGAAGAAGCCCTTTTGCGCAACAGGCCAGTGTAGACAGGCAACATGAATTTCTTGCACAAGGAAGCCCTATGGTTAAAATGGCCATCAGAGCTTTCTTGTGCAAGAAAGCGTCTACACTAGCATGGATGCTCTTGGGCTAAAGTGCATGCCACTGTAGACGCTCTTGTCTGGAAGAGTTCTTGTGCCAGAAGCTGCCAGTGTAGACATAGCCTCACAGTGTAGCAAAAGGAGGTAGGTATAGTTTGTGCCTGCCTCCCAATATCTTGTGGATTCATAATAACCAGTAAGCTGCCAGAGGTGTTGCAGTAGCAACCATGGCTACACCTATTTGAAAGCTGCACTAGGCAGAGACAGAAGTATCCAGATCCCTTCATCACCTCCCACCCCCCCAGGAGCCCAATACAATCTTATTGTCTGGATAGCTAAGCCTCAGGCTACAAGTGACATTCTAACTATTTCCACCTAGACCAGCAGCTTCCAAAGAGTGCTGCATAGTTCAACTAACTTCTCTTTCTGTGCCATCAAAGTTACCTATATGAAAGGCCAGGTGTGTGAAACCGAGACAGGCTAAGCATAACATTTGGCTCCAGCTTTGTATGCCATAAGGTGAAGAGGGCCTTCTTGAAAATAAATGAAGCAGGACATCTAATAAAAGGAGGCATCTCATGCTTCAGACCTTGTTCCTCATCCGTTATGGGGAGATATTGATCTAACAGCTCTTCTGATTTCTCCAGCACTGCTTCCATCCCACTCATTGCCATCTGGCCCATTCTTGAGCCCATGGCTGTGCTCACGCTGTAGGTCATGACTGACTTGGTGGAATCCACACTCCCCTGCACAGCTTCTCTGGTCAGGTCTACTAAGCTGGAAAGTTTGCTGGCAGCTTCCACTTTGGAGGACGCCAGTTCCTTGGTGTTGGAAGCAACCTACAGAAATGACAATAGAAGACATTTGGAGATTGTTCTTCACACTGTTTCTACATGAAATCTTTAGGTCTGTCCTTTCCTCAAATGCTGCATAGCCTTTCCCAGTGAAGAACCATTATACCACAATCTAATTGATCACGAGTTACTGGGCTTTAGTTGCCCTCCTATTTTTGCCTCTTTAGCAGGTAGGTAACAGATCTGTGCTCCTAGGCAGCCACTTCCCTGGACTAATCTGTTCATGAGGCTGCCTGCAAGGCTCTGACTAGTCCAGCTTAAGCCATGCAGAATCTGAATACAACCTTCTCCAGAGAAGAGAATAAGTTTACCTTGTCTGCTGTAATTTGAAGGGTTGGCAGCGTCTCTTCCAGTGTTTCCAGTCTCTTACTAGCATATTCATTTGCTGTTGCAAGTATATAAAATGCAGTTTAGTACCTTACAAGTCAAACTAAAAGCAAGGTTACTGCTATAGGACAAATGCAGTCAGAAGCGAGTCTAGCCATACTGGATGGAGAACATTAGTTTAGCATTTCCCCTTTTCTTTTCTGTGGTAATATGCTTACCCCATGGCCTGCACTTTTGACATATGGTATATCCATCCAGCAGTTAAAGTTTCAGGCCTCCATTTTTAAAAATGGAGAACAATTTTGAGCATCTCAGATTGTGTCCAGATTTTTAAATTAAGAGTGGAAGAAAGTTATGGCACTAAAATTTAAGTTAATTATAGACTTAGTGGCATATTGACTAGGTCAACTCTGGACAAAATTAGACCCCAGGTACATTCCCCTTTCATTCATTCTTAGAGTCCCATATCTAGTGTTAAGTTGACTTGGCTTTGTTGAAGCTAGATCTTTAAGAAGTTAGGCAATAGAGAGTACTAGGCTGGTGGATTTAAGGCTATCACATCAACTGCAGGATTTGGCTTCTGTAAGGCATTTGATTTGGTACCAACATGACGTATCAGGTTGACTTTGAATTCTTCCCTAACTGGATTAAAAAGTTGCTAGCTGATAGGTCTCAAAATGTGGTAGTGAGCAGGGAAGGATCTTTTAGAGGCGTTTCATAGTACCTGCATCACCTTATAAGCTAGGATGAGTAAAACCTCAGCACGAAAGTTAGATATTTAATAGCAGAATCTACTGAAGAACCTCTTTCTGCCATATCAGACAAGGATTTTATGTAGGAGTGGCTCTTGTTGGTGGAGTTGTAGGCAGAGTCTTGGTGGGTCAGAACAGTCATTTGACTTGGAGTTCACTGTGCAGTGCTAGGATAGAGCTAGTATCATCCTCAGATGCATTAGCAAAGATAGAGAGTAGGAAGGTTATTTCCTCTGTATTTAGCTCTCATGCTAGTATGACTGGTCTGGTGTCCACACTTCAGGAAAGATGTGAAAAATCAGGGAGGGTTCTGGAGCCTAGTTTAGCTGATGAAGATTAAGGCGTTAGTTACAAATTGTAACTACCTACATGGAGACTAGAAGTGTAAAGAACTCTTCATCTGCTAGATTGATCTCACCAGCTGCAGGAACCTGAAGCTGAAGATAGGCAACTTCAGATTAGAAGTAAAGGTTAATATTTGCTTAGGGTCTAAGCCTCTGGAGCAGTCTACCTAGGATAATGGAGACTATCCTTGGAAACTTAAGTTAAGGATAGATTTTTTTTCCTCTTGAGACGCTTTAATGCAGCCTTAATGCAGGACTTCCCAGAAACAGTTAGTGGCCTGTGTGTCATGTAGGTGGTCAGACTAGATGATCATAGCACTCTTTCTAGCAACTCTCCCCCTTTTAATGTCAATATTTAGAGTGTTCTGACTTTCAGCTGTTCAAAACATCTGAAGTGAGCTCCCTGTTTCTCCCCTCCCCCCAAAGTGCTGGAATCATTTCTAAGTCCTTATTTCTAAAGAGGCTATTCAAATTTAAGGTTGGCACTCAGAGGACTCATATGAAATAGTGTTAGTCAAGTTATGCACCAGACACTGAAAACTCTTGCAACCATGGAAGTTATCTGGGAATGAATTCTCAGTGGATGGGAAACTGATCAAGTGTCACAATACCGCCTCCCCCCCCCATTTAAGGCAACCATGTAGGTGGTCAGCAAGGCAGGTGGTCTGGACTATCTCAGTACGTGGTTATATACAAGAGTAAGGACATTGAGTGTAAGTACAAGATACAAGCCTTCAAGAAGAAGCAGGAGACAGGACTGAGCCATTGCGCTCCATGCCTGCACATGAGATGGAGACAGTTATGGCATGTTCATTCATGAAAGAAGCCTACAAACCCCATTTACTTACTCTGTGGTTCAAATGAAGTCAGAATTGGCTGTGCGCCACTGGTTGCAGCCTCGCTAATGGTCTTCACTCCTCTCTCTGCTGCATCACACAAGGATTTTATGTAGGGGTGGCTCTCTTTAGTGGAGGCATAGGCAGCAGCAGCCATTTCATAGGCAGAGCTGACCAAGGGCAGACTGGCCACCTTCCTCAAGAGATTCTGTGGGCAAGAAAGGGAGAGATTTGTGAAGAGTCACAGAAGAGTGGATTGGTCAGAGGTGTACTGGCAAGTCTACAGTGGTAGGAGAGTCATTTAGCAGCAGATCTCAGCACAGTGTTGTCTATATACTGAGCTCTTGGGTGGCCACCCAGAACAGATTCAGATGCTGCCCAGCTGATTAGTAGAGGGCTCACAGCACCCAGCAAGCAGAATGTGCTTCTATTAGAGGTACACATCTGAATAAAAAAATGTATTCTGTACATTGATGGGGAAAGTTAGAGGGAACATTGAATTATGGGAGGAAAGCATTGTTACTCTGAAACTAAGGCTCTCATTCTCAGCAGTCTGAAGGGTTAGAGTCAAATGATCTTCTAATTACGGTGGGATGGGTTCCTCCTCCTACCTCCCCTGCAGGAGGAGTGTCTCTTGGACCCAGTCTTTGAGAGGAGACCCAATATGACCATTCTAGTCCCATGTATTGTTTCCTGCCATAGTCCATGCTAGGTGCTTCGCAAAGGAATCAGGTGATCCATCCCTTGTTGTTCAGTCTCAGTTTCCAAGGAGAGGAGGTCAGGCTCGAGATGGCCAGAACATGAGGTTACATCTCTGGCCATGTTGGCCAATAACGGGCCATGAACTATTAGCTTTTTAAGAAATCCTAGTTATACTTACGGCCTTCACAACATCCCATGACAATGAGTTCCATGGGTTTACTATGGAAATGATCCCTGTGTGAAGTATTCCCTTTTATTTTAAGCTGCTACTTAGTTTCATGGGTGACCCCTAGTTTGTGCCATGTTTACTCCTTCACAAGACTTCCCTATTCACTTTCTCCACAACATTCATGGTTTTAGAGATTGTCCTTAGGCACCTCTCTTCTAAAGTTAACACCCCAGTCACTTTAAATCTCTCACTTGGAAGCTGTTCTATAGCCCTAGTCATTTGATACCTTTGGTGTACGATACCTTTGGTGTACCTTTTCCAGTGCCAATCTCTTTTGAGATGGGGCACTCAGAAAAATATCATAATGCCACTGCATAAATCCATGTCATACCCACACTTTGTCTCATCTAATCATACATTTCTAACAATTTCTGGAATAGTTAGCTTAAAAACCCCCCAAAACCATGGCACTACTTCTCTGAAAACATCTGCTCAATGACTTCAAGATGTTTCTTTAGTAAAGACCAGTTTAAAAGTTTAAACCTTATCGTCAGAGCTCTTCTAGCACCTCAGCCATTTAATAGCCCTGCTGATAGGGAGCCTGCTTAAAAATAAAAATCTGGACACCAGAAATTGTTAATGTTACTTTTAATCTTTAGCTAATTTTTTATTGGCATGCCTAATTACACTTTTCTGCTTGACTTTCCAGAGTTTGTTCTTTATTTTCCTCTCACTAAGATTTAAACTTCCAATTTTTGAAACATGCTTTGCTAACTAACCACTTATTACTTTAGCTCTCTCCCCCCCCCCTGGTCCCCTTATGAGTTACAATTGGTGTATACATTTAGTTTTAGCCTCATTTTTTAAGTTTCCCTATAGCTGACATATACACTGCTTGTGATTAGTTGAATGAAAAAGTTTAACAATTTCCTCATTTTTGTGTAGTTCCCCTTTAAGTGTCCCTCCCTCCCCCACCCCCCCATCACCTGGGATGATATAAAGTTTATTATCGTTACTATTGTTAACGGCTCATCTATAGTCACCTCTTAATATTATGATCAAGGATTGCCTCTCCCCTTGTGGGTTCCAGACCTGCTTCATGGAGCAGCTGTCCTTTATGGCATCTAGAAATGCTCTCTCAGCATCCCATCCTGAGGTGGCATATACCCAATCAATATGGAGATAGAAAAATCAAAAAATAATGGGGAACTTCAGCTATTTTTGTAGCCTTTCTAGTCTTCCTGAGCATTTCACAATCACCCGCTTGGTAAGGAGTATGTTCCTACTGCTGCATTCATATTATTCAAAGAATAGACTCTTTAGGGATAAAAATTCCAGGGTATCGTTTGAGTCATTTAAGATTTTTACTCCAATTTGATTGTGCCATTCACATAGAATGCCAACCCCTACCCCCAGCTTAGTCTGTCATTCCTATATATTTCCCACCACAGTATTATCATGCCCCACTGATGACCATCATTTTACTAAGTCTCCATGATTCAAGTTATATATGATTACCGGATATTAAAAAAATTGATATAAATACTAATGCTGTTTAGCATTTGTATACAAGCACCTATAACACTTCTATCACGATGGATGATAGCTTAGAGGAGTGACTGAATGGGACTCTTTCACCTCAGAGTTTTTCTTCAGTTCCTGCCTGTACTTTATCCACTTTCTGCCTCATCCCCTTGCTACCATAGAGAATCCTAATTCATTAATAGAGCCTCTGTCTGCCCCAGCCATGTATTCCTCTGCCCTGTTGGGTTTGCCCCACCATTTAAAACACCTCCACAGTGTTTTTGATTTTGTGAGAGGGAGAATCAGTATTATCACCCTCTTAAGTCAGATCGCTACCTGTTGCTCCTGTTCCTGGGTCCCTAGGGAAGAGTCGTTTCTTTGGGTCTCAGAAGCCATAGCTGAGTCAGATGCACCTGAAAGGCAAGAGAGGGGGAACAGTTTATAGATCAAGAGTACAAGCTGAAGCATTTGATTAATGTTAAACAGCATGCCTATCAATTATAGCTTAAGAACTACAAATAACCAATGCTACTCATTTTTACCTCTTAATTATAATGTACAGGCCATTTCTCCCATATTATGCAGGATTAAGACTGACAGGGTTCAAGAGTGCTAAATGAATTCATAGAGAATAGAGCCAGCTATTAGTCAAGATAGGCAGGATTGATGTCCATTCCCAGGTTCTGGAAAATAGAGGCTAAGGACAACAGGGAAAGCAGTCACTTGATGATTACCTGTGCTGTTTATTGCACCAGGTACAGGCCACTGTCAGAAGGCAAAATAATAGACTAGATGGACTTTTGGTCTGACCCAGTATGGTCATCCTTAAGTCACATAGTGCAGAGTGCACACCTGTAAGTTAGACTTGTCCAGATCTCAGTTAGGAAAGGGGGATGGGGGAGCCAAAGCTGCCAATTGCTGATCACAGTAAAGAAGCCCCAACTTGATGCCATTCTCTCTTCTACCAAGAAGGAAGGGCAAACCCTCCCAAACATCATACATAAATTTTAAAAAGTAGAATTTTACACAAATTGCCACCTGCTTGAAACTAACAAATACATGAAGAAAACAAAGTGTTTTATTTATCACAGTTTTATCTACAACAGTTACTTACCTGCCATTATTTGCTGTAGTTGATAGTCTACTAAGTGCTTAGGCACCCTTCCCCCCCTCACCTTTTATGTACCGGGGGTGAGGTGAATACAGCTGTGGTCAGGAGCTGAAGACTGACAGTTCAGCAAACCTATGAAAACTAAATACTCTCTCCTGTGACCAATGATAGAATCTATGTGGGACTACAAGCAAGGGGCTCTTGAGGAAGTAATTGTATACATATGATTGCAATTGATGCCATGGTTAATTTCTTAGTAGAACTTTCCCATGAAGATGAGTTCTCCTGTGAGCAGCTTGCTACAGAGATACTTATGTACTTACTGTTCATTGCTTTCAGTCAAAGTTAGGCGTCTGAATAACTTTGAGGAGTTGGGTCTTATTGCTCTGTGCAAGTGTTTTTTATTAATGTAGAGCAGGCAGTGAGATGGCAAATCTGCATGGACTTGATTTGAGTAGTTTAAAGAAGGTACTGGCTTTTGCACAGTTCAGATACCAAAGCTACAAGTGTATTATTGTGGATTTTGTAACACTATTTGTTATAGGGTAGTATTACAAGTAGTGTAGCTGAGACACAGACCTGGGTCCTGAGTAACTTTCCCTTTGCATCATCTTACTGCCTAATGAGCAACAACAAGGTTGGGAGGATCTTTGCCTATACCTCATCCTAATATACAGCTTGCTACCAGAAACCACCTCATGGTATAACTTGTAAGTTTTTATTACTGTTATTATATATTTGGGTAGGACAGGGCAAGGATGGGTATCAAGGAGATCTTATGCAGTGACAAAGTTTGGCAAAATTGTACTCAACTTGTTTCTATGTTACCATGTGGCAAAATGCCCCTTTTTGAATTGAAAGGCCTAATTTGAGCTTCAACCCTAAAACTTTTAGCCTCCACCTCCAGTCTGGTGAAAATACAAGTATAACTGTGGGTCACCATTACCCAGGACACAGAGGGTTCACTCTATTACAGCACAACCCTTCACCTCCCATTTACCCTTGTAGCATAGCCCTAGAGTGGTGGGGTTCAACACACTAGCCACCTGTGGCTATTTGGCTGGTTGAAGGTGGCTAGTTTACCATAGCTGTATCTAGAACTGGTTGGATACCATGGGGCTAGAGCATAGCTCCCCTGGAGACCTTTTTTACTACTTTGTCACAACTGTTGATGGAGTCCACCTATTTGCTCTTCTATTTCTGAGACTACAGCCTACCTCACTGCTCAGCCAGCAGTAATACCCTGCAGACATTGCAGTCTAACATGAACTATGCTCATGTTTCAACAACAAACCATCTATTTGATTTGAACAAGCCAAACGAGATAACACTAAACACTGAACAGTTATTCCAATGAAGACCCAGGCTAAAGAATGATTAATCTGGGAATTTGAGTTATAAAAGGTTAAAAACCATGAGTAGTCCTGTGTCACCTTACAGACTAACAAAAAATATATACATACTATCATGAGTATCATCTCATCTGAAGAAGTGGGCTGTGCCCACGAAAGCTCATGATACCATCTACATGTTTTGTTAATCTTTAAGGTGCTGCTAGACTATTCGTTGTTTTTCTCGTTTTTCTAGTTACAGACTAACTCGCCTACCTCCTGAAGCTTTTATATCTACATTTATTAGAAAATGTACCTGTCAATTGGAGAACTGGTGCTAATGAAGCTAATTAAGTGGACTGGATGTGTCCCATTCATAGCTTTTGATGTAAAAATGCAGTTGTTAAAAACAGGGGAGACTGGCTTTATAATGTGACATCCAGTTAATGTCTTTGTTCAAGCCCAGGGTAACTGTCAAATATGAAGATGAGTTCCAGTTCAGCCAACTCTCTGGCTGTGTCTACATTGGCACCCATTTCCGGAAAAGGGATGCTAATGGGACCAGTCGGAATTGCAAATTCCGCGGGGGGTTTAAACTTGAAAGTAGGAATAAGGGATCTTGCGGAAAAGGGCTTATTTTCCGCAAGATCCTGTCTAGACTGGTGCTTTTCTCCGGCAAAACTCCGAGCTGGAAAAAAGCGGCAGCCATGTTCATGCAAATGCCGCGGGGGATATTTAAATCCCCCACGGAATTTGCAATTCCGAAGTGTCTCATTAGCATCCCTTTTACGGAAAAGAGTGCCAGTGTAGACCCAACCTCTCTGTAATTAGCTGGTGAAATTCCTTTGTAGAAGGATGGCTACTTTTAAATCCATGATTGAGTGACCAGGCAGGTTAAAGTTCCCCTAAAAGTTTATGCATGTTACCATTCCTGATGTCTGATTTGTGTCCTTTTATCCTTTTATCACAGACTGTTCGGTTTGGTCAATACACATGGCAGAGGCGCATTACTGGCACTTGATGGCATAGATCACATTAGAGGATGTGCAGTTGTATGAGCCCCTGAGCTGGTGGTTTATGTGGTTAGGTACTATGACGGTGTTGCTTGTATAGATGTGCTGTCATGATTATGAACGTTAACCAGCAGCCTGGGAACTAAGGGGTTAACCTTACCTAAGTCCGTGTGGAAGCAGGCTCTTTGCTGGCCATGCCTCTCGTGCGGATTGCCATCTAAGCAAAAGGTCAACTTCCCCTTAATAAAAAACCCTTACACTATGTAACTTAAAGATCAGCAACAAACAGAAACCAAAACCAAACCTGAAAAGTTCATGTAAAGTTCGTGCTGGTTGTGCTAACTGTGCCATGCCCAATAAGGCAGAAAAGGAAAAACAGAAAACCATCTCACCCCCTTACTCCTGTCACTTAACAAACAGGGTCTGCTAGCCTATCACAAAAAGCACGCAAAAGCTTTCGCTATAAAACAGCTTCCTCTTCTGTATCAAATTAAGAAATCCCAAATAAACGTTGAATGGCAAAATATGAGCCAGGTCCGAGAACTAATCACCCAAGGGCAACCTCCCGCTCACCCAACCAAACAAGGTCCTGTAAAGCGTAGCGTAACAAATACCAAATATGTTCTTACTGTTGTTGTAGTTTCTGTGTCTGTTAAATGTAAGTATTGTTATCTAAAATTGTTTAAAGGTATTGTTAAGTAGTAGTGTTAAAAGTTTTAAATAAATAATTAGTCTTATAAGTAAAACTAATGTAAATATAACCGTTAATAATCCCTGGTCCCTTGTTAACAACTATTGGAATTTAAAGAAACCTCAAAGAATTTTCTTCACTGTATTGCATTTTGCTTATTAAACATTCTAATAATTATTTGGTGCCTACGTATGTAAGAAATTGATAAAATAATAATTTATACGTAGAAGCCCTTTAATAAAAGTGTAAAAGATATTTAGTAATAGTTTGCCTGTTTCTGTGCCTCCCTGGGACTAGCCACATTTCCGAACCTTTTACTTTAAACCACAGTCAGGTAGATCCAGCCAATAGGAATGTATGTAGGAATTTCAAACGAGGACAAAGGAATGTTTGGTTTTTTCCCTCGTTTGTCTCTGAGAGTTCCCCCAGGTACTGAAAGGAACAGACATGTCTCCCTCTCCAAGAAACCATTCTTCACTTTCTGTAAGTAGGGTAAAGTTTAGATAAATCCGTTAGGTTTTATTATTTTATGGTTTGGGAATGGGATCTGCTGCCTGTGCACTTTTTAAAAAATGGTCGGCTTCTCTTTGTAACTAAGTTCTAGGCCCATGAAGTTTCTCCATGGCTGCGTCTAGACTGGCAAGTTTTTCCACAAAAACAGCTGCTTTTGCGGAAAAACTTGCCAGCTGTCTACACTGGCCGCTTGAATTTCCGCAAGAACACTGACTTCCTACTGTCTGAAATCAGTGCTTCTTGCCGAAATGCTATGCTGCTCCCGTTTGGGCAAAAGCCCTGTTGCGCAAATGCTTTTGCGCAAGAGGGCCAGTGTAGGCAACGCGGTATTGTTTTGTGCAAAAAAGCCCCGATGGCGAAAATGGCGATTGGAGCTTTCTTGCGCAAAAGAGCGTCTAGATTGGCACGGACACTTTTCCGCAAAAAATGCTTTTGCAGAAAAGCGTCCGTGCCAATCTAGACGCTCTTTTCCGCAAATGCTTTTAACGGAAAACTTTTCCATTAAAAGCATTTGCGGAAAATCATGCCAGTCTAGACGTAGCCCATGAGTATATTATTTGTTACTTTTCCATCTAGGCATTATGCTTACAACAGGAATATTGTGATGATAATGAAAGTTTTCTCTTTTCTTTTATTAACCTGGTACTGGTTACTTGTTGTGTCCTGGGGTTTTACTTTAGGGGTGAGCTTTCCCAAATGGCCTCTCCCCTGGTTTCTTTATTAATATTTGGGTGGTGGCAGCGGAAGTTTATTCCCAAGATCTAGGGTTTTAAGATTTTGTGGGGAAGTTTTATACCAAAGCCTGGTAAATAAGGTTTTGGGGTACTTGCTGGCCCCCACTTCTGCATTTATCATGCCAGAGTGGGGAAGGAGCCATGACATGTGCGGGCACAGTTGGCAACAGTGTTTGGTGCAGGGTGAAAGTACGTATGTGTACCTGAGGAGCGATGTGTTGGCTGCTGAAATTGCAATATATCAGTTCACATTATTCTTTGGAGATGATCTATTGTCTCTGTTGTTCTCGCAAAAGTTTGGGTCTCTGGAGATCTCTCTCTCCTTCAAATGCAACCCTCACCTCCACCGCTAATTGCTGTGTGTCAGGTTTTCAACATCTCTGTCAGTACAACTATCCAAATGGAAACAACTTCACATGAGACCTGGGAGATGGTTTTGTTCCCCAGGTCAGTTTGTTTCCTGCTAGATGAGGATAATGAATAACTGAGTCTTACACATCTTCAATCCCCAACCAGGCAAACAGATGGAAATTGCAGAGATTATACCACAAATTAGTAGCTATAAGCCTTCCACAAAAAACATGCAAGGGAGCACCAGGCCCCACAGAGAGATGGGGCAGGTCTATGGGCTTGCTGAGCCTTTCACAGAAGGATCCAGACTTTGGGAGGCTAATTTGAAAACCAAAAGGTGATTTTTTTTTTTCTGTATGACTTTCAGTGGGAGTCCCTGAACCGGGGGGAGGGGAGGCATGAGACTGAGTGAAAATGCATGGTGCACACAATTCTTCCAGGCAGCCAGGTGTAGGGCTTTTGTCTTCTGATGTTTAAATGTTGAGGGAGAAGTGTTCCTTTGCAAGAGCATGATTTGTTTGAACATTTCAGATTCAGTGTTTAATCCAATGCACACAGTGTGGGCATAAGGCTCTTTCTGGTCCACCTCCCAAATGATGGAAGGACCATTTTCTCCAGCATTTTCTTCTTCCTTTCTCACCAGCTGATCCCAGGGCCATCTCCCCAACCCACGTTCATACCATCTCCAGCTTGCTTCCCCATTTCTTCCTGATAAACCCTTCTGCTACCCCTTCCCTGCTCTTCCAGCATCCTTCCTGCTCTGACAACAAGTAAAGAATCTGAGTTAGGGTGCATCTACACTGCACTCAAAAATTGAAATAAGATACACAATTTGCTCATCTTATTTTGATTTTTTTTCAAAATAGGCTATTTCAAAATTTGGCACATCTACATGGTGCCAAATTTCAAAATAAAGTGTTATTTCGAGCTATCCCTTATCCCGCATGCAACAAGGTTTACAGCGATGGTGCAATAGCGCGTCCGTTACTTTGAAAAATTATTTTGAAATAGAGGACATGTTCTTTGGATATGAGGTAGCTATTTTGGGATCCCTCTGGTATCCTTATAGTCTTTCTATTTTGAACCACCGATTTAATCAAAATAAGGAAAACACTGATGTAATTGACCCTATTGTGTCACTTACAGTACTGTGATATGTCAGAGAGATTTGGTAACTCACGCCTTGCATTCTCCAAACTTAGGCCAATAAACACTAAAGCAAACCAATAAAACCTGAAAGTGCTGGCAAAGAGGAGGCTATCCAGTTTATTGCACTGCCATATAGCATGACTGATTACTGATTGCCTGGACAGGTGGTGTACATGTACTAGCAGCTCATGGCCTTTGGATACTGAGCATAGGCTTTTGAGACCAGAGTGACTGAGTGGGATTTGTTAAGGGAGAGAAACAAAGTCAATAAAGATACAACAGAGCAGTCCAGTTCTCTCAGACTCATAGACTTCAAGGTAGGAAGGAACTATCGCCCTCATCTGGTCTGAGCACCTGTACATTACAGGCCAAAGAACTCACTCATTCCTAAAATAGACGCTTAAGCTGTGGCTGAATTACTGAAATCCTCAGATGGATGAGGTCATAGAAATGGGGTATTCACTGATTACAAATATACATATCTGCACATCTGATAGCTGCCTGGTTAGTTGCCTGCCAGGTTCAAAGGTTGCCAATCTCTTCAGATATCTAGAGATAACCATATGAACTTTTGATGAGGAGCCTGTGGTCATGGAGATCACACTGACATAGGAGAAAGGGAGGGCCCGGTGGCTAATCTCTCACCTAGCAGCCTAAATTTGAAGTCCAAGATCTCTATAGTAGCATTCTCTGAAATGACATGCAGAGCCAGACAGGGAGAACTGCAGGAAGAGGGATTTAGGTTTATGAGGAGCTGAGCATAGATCTGGGAAGGAGAGGTGTGGGGAGTGCTGTTGCATCCCCAGGTTTTGAGCATCCTGGCCACTTGCCTCTGCTGCCCAGGTTCCCACCCACTGGACCTGTGCCCATTACCCAGGGTCCTGACCATCAGCTGCTGGCCCCACTTTTCCCTGGGAGCTCCGCTTCTAGCCCTAGGTCGTGCTGGACTGCTGGCCCTGCTGTTCTCTCGGGACTCTTATTCTGGCTCTGTCCCCTCCCTGCCTCCGCCTCGCCCCCCCCCCCCCCCCCCCCCCCCCCGCCCTCCCCACCCCCCCACCCCCGCTGGGGTCCTGGCAACCACCCCCACATTTGGAGTCCCAACTGCTAGGCCCAGCTCTAAGGGGTGGTGAGGGGCATGACGAGAGGTAAGGGGAGGGAACAGCATCCCCACTCTAAAAACTGACACCACAGGAGCAGAGGAAACTTTTCGGAAAGGAAAATCCTAGCCCGGAAGAGCCAGAATTGTTAGAATATAACATTAAACAGATTATAAAGGTGTTTTAAAGTAGGGGTGGAATAGCACACAGGCTGAGACCTCCCTTAGGCGAGGCTCCATTAATGGTAATTCTTGGTAACTTAGGCTATATCTAGACTACAAGTTATTTTCGAAAGAGTATATGCAAATTCCTATGGAATTTGCATATTTGCTTCCAATCTCACTTTCGAAAGATCCCTATGAAATACAAGGTGAAATCCCTATGAGATAAGGGATCTTTCGGAAAAGGCTTTATTTTCCACAAGATCAGCGTCTAGACTAGTGCTTTTCTCTGGCAAAACTCCACGCCGAAGAAAAGTGGCAGCCATTTTTATGCTAATGAAGTGGGGGGAGATTTAAATCCCCCGCTTCATTAGCAATTGCGATACATCTAATTTACATCCCTTTTACGAAAAAGGGATGTAGTCTAGAGTAGCCCTAGTGCAGTGGCAGTCAAAAGAAAGCTAACATGAGGAATCATTAGGAAAAGGCATACATTAGGGCTGCATCTAGACTGTCAAGTTTTTCTGCAAAAACAGCTGCTTTTGCGGAAAGACTTGCCAGCTGTCTACACTGGCCACTTGAATTTCCACAAGAACACTGACTTCCTACTGTCTGAAATCAGTGCTTCTTGCAGAAATACTATGCTGCTCCCGTTCGGGCAAAAGTCCTTTTGTGCAAAGCATTTGTGCAAAAGGGCCAGTGTAGACAACTCAGATTTGTTTTGCGCAAAAAAGCCCCAATCGCGAAAGTGGCGATCTGGGCTTTTTTGTGCAAAAGCATGTCTAGATTGGCACGGACGCTTTTCCGCAAAAAGTGCTTTTGCGGAAAAGCATCCGTGCCAATCTAGACGCTCTTTTCTGCAATTGCTTTTAACGGAAAACTTTTCCGTTAAAAGCACTTGCGGAAAATCATGCCAATCTAGACGTAGCCAATAAGACAGTATATATCATGACACTATATAAATCCATGTTATGGTCACACCTTGACTACCTCATGCAGTGCTGGTCAGTCCATCTCCAAGATATATTAGAATTGAAAAAGGGACAAAGGGCAACAAAAATGATTGGGGTATGGAACAACTTCCATATGAGGAGAGATTAGACCATTGGGACTGTTCATCTTAGAAACTATTAAGATGTTTCTAGGAGTGGATATGGTAGAGGTATATAAATTCATGAATGATATAGCGAAAGTGTTATTTATCCTTTCACATAACACAGGAACCGGGGGTCCTTCAATGACATTAAGAGGCAGACGGCTTAAAACCAGCAAAACGAAAGTCTTCCACACACAGTTCAGTCAGCCCTAGGACTGTTGTGAAGGCCATATGTATAACTGGGTTAAAAAAAGAATTAGATCAGTCCATGAAGCACAGGTCCATCAACAGCTATTAGCCAAGATGATCAGGGATGCCCCTCCATGCTCTGGGTCTCCCTAGGTCTTTCACTACCAGAAGCTAGGGCTGGACAATGGGGAATGAATCACTTTAAGTTGCCCTATTCTGTTTATTCCCTCTGAAGCATTCAGAACTGGCCCCTGTTGTGAAGCAGAATAGTGGCTATTGGACCAATGGTCTGATTCCATTTGGGCTATTCTCCTTTTCTAAAACCTGATTTTATGTCAGAAAATAAATACCTAGATCAGTTTTGACCTGCCTCAGGGGCAAGTGTAGTAATATGTCCCATATTAATCTCTGTACAGTGAACCCTCGTTTATCGCGGTAGATAGGTATTGACACTAGCCCCATCTGTCATTGCCAATATGTACTAAAACGACTTTCATTGTGAGGCTAACGTGGCCTTTAGTATAAATGCAGCTGATGACTTTTCTTCAAAGTTTAGGCAAGTGCATATCCTTAAAGTGCTGGCTTTACGGCTATTGTGCATTTTAACTAGATTTCCTGATACTTAATGTAGGTTTTCATACAGGCCATTGTTTAGTTTGATGATGACCATTAGTTAACACTTGGAAAGGCAGATGACCTGTTCAGTACTGAGGTCTGTTTAGAATCTGGTGTTGGTCATCTTCCTTTCCAAGTGCTGGTCTACTCACTGTCTTTTTTTCTTCCTCCTCTTCATTTCTTTTCCTTCTCCCTCTCCCCTCCCCCTCTTTCCCCTATTTATTCTTGGATCTGGACTTCCCACTTCTTCAGAAGACCAGAAGGTTGGTTGTGCCCACGAAAGCTCACGGTACCATCTACATGTTTTGCAAGTCTTTAAAGAGCTACCAGACTATTTGTTGTTTTTTTAAAGTTTTTCTAGCAACAGCAAGTAGCTAAAAGTTCCTCACATGCACAAAAGGCAATTGCATTTGAGTGCCCAAGGGGCATAAGTATATTAACCTTTTGGTTAGCTGGGTTTTTATACTATACTCCTGTGCTCTGACATCAGTAACACAAAAGCCGCAGATCCTTTAAGGATAGCAGCAGCTCCATAAGCAGTTAGTGTGAAAGTGAAATGAGCTTTGTGTTTAGACACTAAGAGGGTGTTAGGGAGTGAAGAGAAGAGGGCCTGGCATTACAGGGGTTAACCAAAGCCTTACTTTACTAGTAGCCAACGCCAGGCCTGGAGGCAGGATAAAAGGAAGGGGCCTGGCCCAATCGCTGCTGACCAGTAAGAAGACAGGAGTGTGGTTCTGCTGTCTGCAGGACTGGAACTAAAACTGTTTACTTGGCCGTGAAGTAAGTTTCCTACACCATCCTCCTGGAACAAAAGAGGAAACCTGTGAGAACCCTAGCTAAGAGGAAAATCTAAACTGTTGGGCCATCCCCAAAGTCAAGGACTACACTCATATAATGGGCTGGAGTTTCTACGCCAGGGTACCAGTGGCAGGGGTATGTACCCCTTTTCTGTTGACTAATTCTGGGACCTAACCACTAGGCCACTCTGCTGCCAGGGAGACCTAGCCATAGAAGGACTTTCTATTCTCTTGTTTGAGGGCTGGAGATTGCCCCCTTTGTGTGCAGCTACTGCAAAATTACTGTCATGGCACCATGAAATAATCATCTCATTACACATAGGAACCAGATGATGTTTTATTCCAAGCAAAAACAGTTTTCTACTGGCAAAAAAGGTTCACAGAGTAGTAAATATCCATACAACTGGCACTTCACCATGGAGTAAAAGGCAAAGGAGTGTTCCAAAACCAGAAATTTAACAGAAAAGGACTAAATTGACTCTTCCAAAGGGGAGCAGAGACTAACCTCAGTCATACTCCAACCTGTTCTGAACGTGTGAACAGAGAATTTGAACTACTGCATTTTCTGTTCAACCGAAATTAATCCCAGCCAGCCACGTAGGTAAAGACACTCCCATTTAATGAGGTCAAAATGATATCCAGAGTTTGGTTCTTCAGACTCCTTATATAATTTCCTTTGAGCATTTACACTGCATGTCTATTTTTGGCTACAGAAGGATAGCTGCAATTGTGAAAGACAGTTACAGGGACAAATGAACAAATTAGAAGTAACAATAGAAGTGATCCATTCCCACAGGTCAAGAAGAATGGCAAGACACCACCAGGTTTAATACTCAGCTTTGAAAGGATAGTCCTTGTGATTTGAGCACCTAAGGAAAAGACAAAAAAGAAATGTTATTCTGAGATCACATGTTGGCATGGGGGCCTTTTCTTGGACAGAAAATAAGGGTCTGAATGTACACCAGCAGTCTGCACAGGCTTTAAACTCTATTGGCCTCAAACACAACCAGTTTATACACAAACTTCCCCAAGCTTTGCATTGAATCATTAAGTCACAGGGAAGGCGATCTAATTGCTTTTTAGATTAAGTGTTTGTGTGTAAGCTGTGTCATTGAAAGGGGAATTTAGATTTTTCAATGATCAGTTTTGATATCTGGGCTATGACTCCTGTAGAACTGCTAATACTTTATACTAAATACATCAACCTTTTAAAATGGAATACCCCTCATGAGACTGTCTATATTTTAAAGATGGTGAAAAAAAATCTGGTGGAGAGATTAAATGAGTTTTCTATGACAAATAAGCTTGCCAGCCAGGCTCAAGATTTGGGAATTTAATACCTAAATCAAGTGTCCCATTTCTTTAGATTTCTGTACTTTTCATTTAATACAGGCAAATGAAAGATTGCTTTCTAAATTTGTTATTGTATTAGAATTCTATCTAGAAAACTACAGATGATTCCAAAAAACAGGGGCTTTGGGGTAATTGGCACGTATATAAGACAGGGGCTTTGGGGTAATTGGCACGTATATAAGGCAGCCCAAAAATATCTGGACTGTCCCTATAGTAAGTGGAACATCTGGTCTCCATATTAGTAACAACAATGAGCCATTTTAAATTTACCCAAGGAAAAAAAACAAAAATCTATTGTTTAGGCTTAAACAACCTTGTTCAGAGCTCCAACACTTTACTTGAAACGGGTTTATTATACATTTAGGACAACATCCTTTAATACACAGCTCCAGAAACCATTTCAGAGAGAGAGAGAGAGAGAGAGAGAGAGAGAGAAAAATGAACGAACTCTATGCAGTTCTGGGATTGCCTAAAGTCTGAGACTTCCCACTCCAGAAATAGACTGTTTCCTTTCCCCCCCAACTAAACAGAATCCCACACAACCACCCAGCAACAGATAATCACAACTGCCTGCTTTCCTCATGTCTATCAGGCCAAAAGGAACAAAGAGATAATTTGAAACATTATGCTGAGGAGTAAGGTCAAGTTCATACGCAGCTAATTAGGAATGCAGATCTATTTGGGTGGAACATTACAAGTGTCACTGGTTTCATATGACAGCTGTTAAAAATCTGTTTTAAATTATTTCATTTTATAAGGTGAAGCTCATCAAGGTACCTCAAGTTATAGGACTTTCAATGGCCATTTAAACAATGAGAAGTCTGTGGCATCTTATAGACTAACAGATTTATTGGCACATAAGCTTTCGTGGGCAGATGACGAAGTGGGTCTTTGCCCACGAAAGCTTATGCTCCAATAAATCTGCTAGTCTAAGGTGCCCCAGGACTTCTCATTGTTTATGCAGATTCAGACGAACACGGCTACCCCTGTGATACTAATGGCCATTTAATTCCATAACTCTCCATTGGCATTAAGTGGTTAGAAATCTAACAAACTCCAGAGAGGTGGGTATCTCTACTGACAAAGCGTGAGGCAGATGGTTAAAAGGTTCAACCAATATCACAGAAAATCCCATATTAGAGCTAGGATTTGAAATAGATACTAAGAATTTCTGTTTTCAGGCTCTTTCTTCTTGAAAAATATGAGAGTTTAAATCAAACAGGCATTAAAATTAAAACCACATATTTACATCTATGAAGATGTTAATAACCTTCCCAAAAATTATTTCTGGAGAGAACTGTATGCCAGATAGCTCTTAGACAAATTTCAGTTTGCAGGGTTAAAACCAAACAAACATGCATCCACAATTTCACCCAAACCAGCATCAGTAAAATTGAAATAATTCCTGGATATTTTTGAAAGCCCTCTGTATAGAATACTTAGCATTCAGTGACTTCAAACATTGTCACTTACATGGTGAATGCACAGGCTCTCCAGTTCCTATTAAAGGTGAGGATGGTTTCCATCTCCTCTTTAGTCAATTCAAAATCAAACACCTGACAAGAGAAAGCTTTCAATTAGCTTTTCAAGCAGTGTAGTCAAGACATAGGTGATCAGAGATTCACAAGACTGAAAGAAAAGCTTCATAAACACTTTCAACTTAACCTGAAAAATCAGTTCTGGTTTAAAGCAAGGAATGGTTTGTATCACTAAAGTATTTCCCTTTGGTCTATTGGCAGAGAAAGGTATAAGCTGAAGTGACAGATGTGAGCTATAATGAAAGCTTTTGTAAGCTGCTATAATACAAACAGACAATTAGCTATACTTTCACCCTGTACATTTTGTTTGTCAGCAAACTTTTCTGATTGTGTGTAATATGTTTTACCTGACTGTTTCGAACACAACATTTGAAAACTTCAGCATTCCAATTAAATACAATGTGTGTTCTCACAACTTGTTTAACATGAATAGTTAAACTTTACATACAATCCAAGTATTTTAATTCCCAAGTAATTCAACAATGTGCCATTGAATTAAGAACAATCATATGGTAAAATGTACAATCAGTTTGTGTATATAGGGGATATTAGGGACTGGATCTGAGCAGAGGAAAGTGATTTTCTTGACACTACTTTGTATAGAGTTTTTGTGCACATAATTCCACTCAGGTATTAGGCAAGCTTTGGGAAGAGAAGGGAAAAACTAGCTAGGGCCCTGAACAGTCATTTTCTGTATTTATTTTTCCCCTTAATCCAGAGTGTAAGTTTAACCTTCAGTATACTGCATGTGAAGAGTACTAATAAACCTTCTACCTCTTTGAGGGTAACCTGGGAAGCGTGAAAAAGCATAGCTACTTTCCACATAGGGAGTTCAGACTCCACCTAGTTACTCCGATTCAAAGCCAGCATGAATATTGTTTGGAATCTTACCTTAAAGTTCTCTTTGATACGAAGCGGTGTAATGGACTTAGGAATCACAATCACATTTCTCTGGATATGGAACCGGATCAAAACCTGCATAAGCAGATCAGCAGTGTTACTTAGAAGTCATTCATCACCAGTAAGAGACAGAACCTTTCTGCCCTAAACAAATAGTACTATTAGAGCTAAGATTCAATATAGACTTAGGGTATGTCTACACAGCAACATTATTTCAAAATAACTAGTATTATTTCAAAATAACTTAGTCCACGTCTACACAGCAGGGAGTTATTTCAAAATAATGTTGAAATACTGTCAAGCTGGAGGACTTCTTACTCAGACTCCTGTAACCCTCACTGTATGAGGAGTAACAGAAGTCGGAGGAAGTGCGCTCTATTTTGAAATGTGTGATGTGGATGCTCCCAATTTTGAAATAAGCTATTTTGAAATAAGCTACACAATTGACATAGCTCAATTTGCATAGCTTATTTCGAGTTAAGCCCTGCTGTGCAGACATACCCTAAGACACTGTTCATCAGAACCACTCCATTCCTAATGAACCTCTTTTCATCACTTGCATTTCTTTTCCCACTTTTCTTTCGAGAGAGGCTTTTCTGAAATTTGACATGTCTACACAGCACCAAATTTCAGAAAAACCTGCTCTTTTGAGCCATCCCTTCTTCCTGAAGTTTTCAGGGATGGTGAAAGAACACATCTGCTTTTCTGAATTTTTTTCAGAAAAGCGGACACGTTCTTTGGATGAGGCATTGCTTTTCTGGGATACCTCCAGTATCCCAGTAAAGTGCTGCAGTCTAGACATAGCCTTACTGAACAGCAATGAGTTGTACAGTGATGGCTAGGTGAAAGCTGGATGTCTTCCTTTCCTCTATTACCCAGATAACCTTGTGATCATTAATACCTTACCTTTACAAGGAATTTTTAAAAACCAAGTCAGATTGCAGAGTTGACACAAGATTAGAATACTGGAACATGGGGACACATTATAAAAGAAGCAGCATATACAATGCAGAGACCTGACTTTGCTGGGCACAGGTACCTGAGCTGGGGTTTTGTTGTGCTTGGCTGCAATCTCCTTAATCTTGTCGTCATCCAAGAGAGAGGGGTCCTCTGGTTTAGCCCTGTGAAAACAAGAGAGAAAGTTAATGGTGGGAAGTTCTACATACTAACAGAAACATGTTCCATTACAACTGTGTTATTTGGTTCAACTTGCCTCAAAGTTTCAAGTTTAACACACACATTGTCTATCAGGCAAGTTAGATTGCAAGCTCTCTTACCATGGCCTGTCAGGAGAGCCTAGAGGACTGTATGCGGTCACAGAGATCCCTTTGGATTGGCAATACTTAATCAGCTTCTCCTGGGTAAGGTATGGATGGCACTCAATCTGCAAGCACAAGGACATAGATCTACTCAGACTGCACTATTGCTGCTGTGTTTCAGAGATCACTTCTTATTCCACTTACAGAAAATATCATTGGCAAGTTGCGACTAATTGTGAACCCAGTGCCTATTGTTAAGCAACTTTTAGTTGTTCAACATCTTTATGAAATTTTGTTTTGCTTTTGTGTTTTATCTGTTGCATTTCAGTTACTATAGGATTTTGCAAGGCAGGAGCACGGGAAAACTATACTCCTACGTTTTAATTATCAACTTTGTTCTGGAAAGATTTACAAAATAATCAGCTGCAGAACTTGATAGAGGTCTATAAAATCATGACTGGTGTGGAAAAAAATGAATAAGGAAAAGTTATTTACTTATTCCCCACAATATAAGAATTAGGGGTCACCAAATGAAAATAATAGGCAGCAGATTTAAAACAAACAAAAGGAAGTTTTTCTTCACTCAGCATACAATCAACCTGTGGAACTCCCTGCCAGAGGATGTGGTGAAGACTAGGACTTTAACAAAGGTCAAAAAAGAGATAGATAGATTCATGGAGGTTTTGTCATCAATAGGTATTAGCTGGGATGGGTAGGAATGATGTTCCTCGCCTCTATTTGTCTGTAAATGGGTGACAGGAGAGGGATCATGTGAGGATTACCTGTTGTGTTCCCTCCCTCCGGGGCATCTGGTATTGGCCACTGTCGGCAGACAGGATACTGGGCTGGATGGATCTTTGGTTTGACCCAGTATGGCCATTCTTATGTAGAATTATGCAACTGAAGCAGTACAATAAAGTTGATATCCAAAAGAATAGCATAATGTCAGAGTAATCTAGTTGAAGTGAAATTTAAATGAGAAGAAACAGACCTACTCATTTGAAGGTTTATTGATTAGCTTTCCTAATTAGAGAGACAGATGTTTTGGAAACTACTGTAGCATGCATACTATGAATTGTAGTGTTCCAGATCAATATGTTAGAATAATGTAAGAATTTTGATGTTAAGGGGTAAGATGCCTTTCAGTCAATTTATAAAGAAATGTTTGGTACTGGTACTGCTGTGCATAAGTGCTCTTGTTGAAAGTAACCCTGCCCATCCAAAATTTAAATACTGAACCAAGTTTTACATGTTGCTTTGTCCACCATAAGAACATAAGAATGGCTGTAATGGGTCAGACCAAAGATCCATCTAGCCCAGTAACCTGTCTACCGACAGTGGGCCAGCACCAGGTGCCCCAGAGGGGGTGGACCGAAGACCATGATCAAGCGATTTGTCTCCTGCCATCCCTCTTCAGCCTCTGACAAATAGAGGCCAGGGACACCATTTCTATCCCCTGGCTAAAAGTCTTTTATGGACCTAATCTCCATGAAATTATCTAGCTTCTCTTTAAACTTGGTTATAGGCCTAGCCTTCACATGGAATCTCTTTTCTAGACAATGCATGTGTGTGCATCTGCCATTTATTTTTAATGGGATCATCGTCTGCACATCAGGCAGAATGGAGAAAGGACTGCAGGCCCCTTAATGTTGGATCCACATTCTGCTAATTACTGCAGTACAACTATGGTTATCCCAATATCATGAGTAGGGCCCTGCTACATTTTCAGTCCATTTTGGTCAATTTTGCAATTATAGGGTTTAAAAAGTTTAAGATTTATCATGATTTTAGATATTTAAATTGGAAATTTCACAGTGGGTGTCAGAAGGCTATTGTAATAGGGCTTTGTGGTGCTGCTACCCTTCCTTCGGTGCTGCTGGTGGTAGTAGTGTTGCCCTCAGAGCTGGGCAGTTGAAGAACAGTAGCTGCTGAATGGGATCCCAGCTCTGAAGGCAGAGCGGTTGTCAGCAGCAGCACAGAAATAAAGGTGCCATGATATGGTATTGCCACCTTTACTTTTGGGCTGTTGCTGGTGGGATGCTGCTTTCAGAACTGGATGGCCAGCCAAAAGCCACCGTCCTCTGGCTGCCCTGCTCTGAAGGTAGCACCGAAGAGTAGCGATACCACAGCCTGCCTAAAATAACTTTGACTCACCTGCAACTCCCTATTGGTTCAGGACACTCAACTGGAGACACAATGGTCTCCTCTGGTAATTCTGGATAGTACAAGATAAAGGCACATGGAAGACCAGATTTCACAGGGGGAGGCCAGATTTCATGGCTGAACTTCAGGGCCCTATGTCACGGGGCATTGGCTCAGTTTGGACATTTGAGGCTTTGGACAACTGAAGGAATTTTCAGGGTACCTACACAGTGGTAAGTATTTGAGTTAAAGAAAAAAAACCTTCCAGCAAAGACTAACATTAGTGCTTGCCCATCACTTTTTTACAATGAAAAATTTGAATTAAAAAAAAATCCATATTCTCTTTGATTAATTTTCTAAAATAATTTTACTTAATTGGTAAGACGTACTTTCAACACCCATAGGAAAGAGGCAAATATTGATGATGAATAATTACTATTGGTAACAAGATGCAAGAATGGGGTGCAAATTTTATTCTATATTTCACTTGAGTATTACTTTAATACCTCCTTTTGTACCTTTGATCATTAAACCATGCTACCAAAGAGGGGTGATAACCTCAATCGACTTATTTTGCATTTGAAAGTTTAGAAACAGACTAGCCAGGAAATTTGGTTATTTCCCCCTACACCATTACTTACCCCCTCCCGCATTTACTGTAACTGTTGCTAGTAACAAAAGTGTAGGTGAGATGTTTCGGTTATAAACATGTGTATTCTCTCACTTAGGGCTTAAGCCTAGCAACCTCCTCTGAAGTCAATGGGAATGGAAGGTGCTCAGTTGCTTGGAGAATGGTGCTCTTAGTTTTCTCCAGGGTAGTCTACATGGCAGCAGTGCAGACTAAAGAGGTGTGAATTGTACCATTTAGTGCTTTTCATCTGTACACCACTGTAAGAGCTATACATTTATTAACATCCACTGCTTCAAGTGGCCTTCGGAATTCTACAAGGACTGTTAATGCATCCTCTGCCTGCTCTATTTGCCCACTCCTTACCTCCCCGCTGTACAAGAGCTGACATGATCAGATCCTCTTGATCTCCGATACATTAACCTGAAGCTATTAAAGCAGCTTACCTGATTGTTGGCAGGCTTGTATTTTAACCCAGGCTTGTTCAAAAGTCTTTCAATCTGATCATGGTTAAAGTTGGAGATTCCAATGGCTTTCACTAGACCTGCATCCACCAGCTCTTCCATAGCCTATGGGGACAAGAGAATCTGAGTCGATGTAACCAAATACACAAAACAGGATCTGAAAGGCATTCTTGCTGCTAGCATGGTTCATTTCTTTGACAATAATCAGTGATAGGACTCTAGTGGACTTGTCACTTATATTCTGGAGTCCACCAGGGAAAAGGGATGCATAGAGGAATACTTTTCAGGCTTGTCTGAGATTTCTTTGCCGGATTTGAAAGCTTTTATGCATTTTTATTAATCATAAGCATGAGAGTTAATAATTACCTGCGTCAAACAGTCGATTATTCGGCCAGCATTGAATTATCCTCAAGACTGCGCGTAGTATATGAAACCTACAATTCTCCTTTTAGTTCTGCAAATAGGCAGAGCTGTCAATTTTCACAAATGTGAGAATTTCAGTGAATTTACTGTGACAGTCCTCATACCGTGTGTGATTGTGAGTATTCTAGAAAAGAAGCTTTAACCTGAATTTTAAGTTGGAATCTATATGAACTGAAATTTACAAAGACTGAGGGGTAGCCGTGTTAGTCTGTAATTTTAAAAGCTAGTAGTTCTGTTGCACCTTAAAGACTAACAAATACGTATACATATATAGCATCATGAACTATCATGCACAAAACCCATTTCTTCAGATGAAATTTTCTGTGAGCTACATTATCCATGGAACAAAAATATCAGACTTATATAGAAGTACAAATTTTGGCATATTTACATAGAACTGTAAATGATTTGCAAAGCAAAAATTAAAGTATTTACAAATACTTTAGAATAAATATAAAGTGTGTGAGATATTTATATCACCAAAAGACCAACCTCCCAAGTGTCCAGAAAATCTGTGCCACTGGGTATGATCATGCCTTTTTCATCTGTAGGAAACTGCTGCTCTCCAGCCTGTCAATACAAAGCAGAAAGGCTAAAACATTCTCTGTTGAATTTTTTGCTGAAAGACTAGAATACCTGGGTAAACAAACTGAACTCAGATTCTGTATAGTAGCTTTAACTTTTAGGACTTCTACTCAGGGGCAGCCCGTGGCTATAGGCGGACTCGGCCGCTGCCTAGGATGTCGCCGCCCGGGGCGCCAGATGTCACAGGGGCACCCGCCAATGACGTCAGTCCATCGGCAGCCTTGCAGGCGGGGGCGCCGATCGCGCGTTCCACCTGGGGCGCCAGCTACCGCAGCTGGCCTCAGGCCGCTTCTGCTTCTACTTCTATTTAAGTACTTCCCTTATTCATTCTGGCATTGCCTCTTGCTTTTGCGGAAAAGCATCTGTGCCAATCTAGATGCTCTTTTCCGTAAATGCTTTTAACGGAAAACTTTTCCGTTAAAAGCATTTGTGGAAAATCATGCCAGTTTAGACGCAGACTGTGAGTTTAAGTTACAGTCTATGCTCTTGCTATTATTAAGAGCTGCTAGACTCCTTTACAGCCTGTCTGCCGAACAGTGATACCCGACCAGCCTTGTTTCATCTGCTTTGTCCTCACCAAAAAACAGTTAAAAGATATTGGAGAGTGCATTTGGGAGTTGCACAGCATACCAAGGGCAGGTTTTTTTTTTTTTAAATCAGGAAGAGCCAAGACAGGAGAGGCAAAGCGAGACGTAAGCACAGTTTCAACTACATCTTAACCAGGATGTGGGCTTTATAATCACAGTCGCCACTTGCACATTCCAAGGGTTATGGAATAACAGGGGCTGTTATGGGCAGATGGTAACTAGAAGTTTGTACTGTGCTTCTGGACTCCAAGAGCAGGGGTTGTGCGTGAGAGAGAAGCTCATTTCACTGCCAACAGCAAAGAAAAACTGGCATAGTGTTAAGAAGTATACATAAAAACTTCCCAGAAAGAGGAAGACAAGCCATATGTCAGCGTATAGTCAAGTATATATATTTGTAGAGAAGGAGTTGGGAGTCAGAGTTAAAGGTATAAAGTGCCCTGCCATGTGGGAGACCTGGATTGGATCCCAGATTCATCTCTCTTTGGATCCACAGGGGCAGGGAATGTGGTAGAAGCAGCATGCTCTGCTTCAGGAACAAAAGCCTCGATCGTGCACTCATACCACAAAGCTGAATACACAGTAGGGATGTGAAAGGTTACCCAGTTGACCAGTGTAAGCAGGGGCTGAACTGCTGCTTGCTATCAGCCAGCTAAAAGGAGGGGTGGATGTGCCTGCTACAATTGTTTAGCTTTGCAAGGAAATTAACTGTTGATATGTAAATACAGCTCAGGAGAGAATATGAGGTGTGGCTATATAAATCCCATTCAGCCAGGGCTGATGGAAGGTCAGTGTTGGAATGGAATGTGGAGAATTGTAAATATTTGGGACTATTGTGCGGGGGTCACTAATCACTCTATCCCTAAATGTGGGAACTGTAACACATGCCACCAGTGCTTGCAGGAGAGACACCACCATCACGGTAAGAGATCTCAGAGGAACAAGCCTCCCCCATTCCAGAGTTGAGTGAACAGAGCTGGGGGGAAGGATTAAAGGGCTTGAGTCAGCCTGCTTCACACCTGGCAGGTGTGAGTTGAGACTGGCCCAACCTGCCCCTCCCCCCCCCCTTTGTTTTAAGGACAGACTTAAAGCAGTCTCTTGAGGAGTCTTTTCTTTTGCTAGTCTAGTGGAAGCTGGATTCCTTTGCCAGTCCAGCTGGTGGCTAAAGAGCTGAAATCACAGAGAGCTGAAATCACTGGTTTGGCTGAGCACCAGACCCATTGCAGCCAGTGAAGCAGCAGCGGCCAGCAGAGGGGCCGGGTGGTGGGAATCACTGGCTGGTGGTGTAATGTGGCTGGTAGGAGCGGCAGCAAGCAAGGAGCAGCAACCAGCGGCGCGTCTGGTGGCATGGGATGAGACAGTTGGTGGAGCGTGGCGGAGTGTCATAAGGTGCCCCCCATCTATCCTCCCACCCCCATTTCTATCCAGGTTGGTAGGTGAAACCCTGTAGGTGAACTTCGGGACTCTGGGTGGCAGGGACCAGGGACAGAGACTTTTAGGGTGTCGGACTCTTTGGACTTCAGGTGAATCTTGGCTGGGGTGGGGGGCTTAGCTCATGTTTAGGTTATGAACTTTGTTTGTGGTGGTCTCCCCAAGTTAATGCCGTATGACTTTTCTCTCTGTCTCCATTAAATGTTTCTTTCCTACACTCAGACTCAGTGCTTATGAGTGGGGAAGCATCGCCTCTCAGAGGCACCCAGGGGTGTGTGAATTTTCCAGATTACTGGGTGGGGGCTCGAGCCGGTTCTATGTGAGATGGACCCCAAGATATTGAACCCAGCCCTGGTTACTGCCAGGCCTACCTGGAAGAAGGGTTACACCAGTAAGCATCACCCTTAATAGGTGATACTTACTGGTTCAGGTTAACCCACAATGGGGCACCGCAGCAACCTCTGTTCGTGAAGAGACTGGGTCCTCCCCCCGCAGGCAGGAGCTGCTCTGACTGGGCTGGAAAAGCCCTTGCCTGTGGTGGTGGGTCAGGCAACTCCAGCCTGGCCTTGGCAGGTGAGGATGGGGGCTCCAACCAGTGGGGCTGGACTGGGCCCTGGCCTACCTGCACACCCTGTAAGTGGTTAACTGGTTAAAACAATGTTTAACTAGTTAACCTATTAAATGGGATTTTACATCCCTAATACACAGAAATAAAGAGTGATGCTGAGACAGCTCAATCCTCCTTAAGGGTAAGAGGTTTGGGGCTGTAATGGGATAGCTTACCACGAGGACGGTGCACCTCCAGAATCCACCAGGAAGAAACAGAAGTGTTAGATGTTACAGTACCTTAAATCCTAAAGGCCAGTGAATGAGATACAGATCCAGGTAGTTCAGTTTCAGTGCATCCAGGGTAGTCTGGCATGCGCCCTTCACCAGTGATTTCTCATGGAATGTGGACCAAAGCTACAAAAGGGAAACCAAGCAAGGCAAATTCTCTTACAAGAGTCTCCCAAATAGGACAAAGTCATCTCACAGCTACAGGAGGTAGGATTGGGAATCTTATTAACCCCATTCACAAGGCTCACTCAGAGCACAGACAGAGGGAAGATTTTTGGATGCTGGTATTTTTCCTAGCAGTTTACTGACAAAACTGGGTTCTGACTCATTCAAATTTCACTGGTTATGACTCCAATAAGGAGCCACTTATTGCAAGATACAGTATTTGGAAAGGGAAAACTAAGGGCTACAGAGTAAGGAAGCTTTTCAGCCATGTGTGTCCAGAAGCAGGGAGATAGGAGGAACCTCTTGCATGAGTGTGGCTAGCTAAAGGCGTTACCAGGGATATAAACAGTTGGTTACCTAGTAAGCTTAAGCTTACCGAATAGGTAACTGGGCTAGGTGGCAGGAACCCAGACAGGGCTGCAGAGAGACCAGTGGCAACCCTGGCCCCAGCCACACCGGAAGCTCTGCCCCAGCCCTGCGTTGGGCAGGTTCAGGTGGCACCTTGGCCATGCCAGCTGTGTCCGCAGCCCTGGCTTCAAGAGAGGGCGGGTGAGACCCCGGCTCCATCATCCCTGGCCCTGTCACACCCTGGGCAGGGGACTGCTCCAGCTTGGCTGGGCCCACCCTGCTGCACGATCATGGTTAAAAACTGGTTAAATGAAGTGAACTGTTTAATCCTACTTTTACATCCCTAACCGTTACAAGGCAGCCAGCTCCTAGCCCCTGTGGGGCTAGAGCAGCCCTCTGTCTGTAGCAGACTGTGGGCAGGGGCTGCTCCTGGGTACTAGTTAGCCAGTTACCTGTTCACATCACATCTGAACAGGGTGAGAGTTCCCTAGGTGTCTATGGGCACGTCTACACTATACTGTTATTTCGAAACAACAAGGTGAGTATCCACAATAATAAACCCTCACTTCACAAGGCATAATGCCTATTTCAAAATTGCTATTTTGAAATTGTTAGTGGTGATGCTCCACTGCTGCTATTTCAAAATAGCTCCTCCCCAGGGCCATTCAGCATAATTACACCCCAGTGCTTCCTAGGGCTCTAAACCGATGTAGTGCAGCCACATTAGGGGAGCCTGTCTCGGACTAATTTAGAGGCTTCCCTGCAGTGTGGACATGCTATTTCAAAATTGTTATTTTAGGAGTTACTATTTTGAAATACCGTTAGGCTGTATCTAGACTGGCAAGTTTTTCCGCAAAATCATCTGCTTTTGCGGAAAAACTTGCCAGCTGTCTACACTGGCTGCTTGAATTTCCAGAAAAGCACCGACGATCTCATGTAAAATCATCAGTGCTTTTCCGGAAATACTATGCTGCTCCCATTCGGGCAAAAGTCTTTTTTCAAAAGACTTTTGCGCAAAAGGGCCAGTGTAAACAGCACAGTACTGTTTTCCGCAAAAAAGTCCCAATCGCGAAAATGGCGATCGGGGCTCTTTTGCGGAAAACCGCGTCTAGATTGGCCACGGACGCTTTTCCGCAAAAAGTGCTTTTGCGGAAAAGCATTCTGCCAATCTAGATGTGCTTTTCCGAAAATGCTTTTAACAGAAAACTTTTCCGTTAAAAGCATTTTCGGAAAATCATGCCAGTGTAGACATAGCCTTATAGTGTAGAGAGCCTATGTTTCTGCCTCTGGGCATGCACACTACTGGCATCTTCCCCTCACAGGCATCTGGATGCCTTTCTCTCACCAAGTTCCAAAGCTACGCATAAGTTGGGGGAAGACAGCTATCTGCTTCCCTAAGGGTATGTCTACACTTGCACCCTACTTTGAACTAGGGATGCAAATACAGTCATTTGAAATAGTCAATGAAGCGGGAATTTAAATATCCCGCACTTCATTAGCATGATCTCGCCGGCGTGTTATTCCGAATGCCAGCTGTTTCGAAAGTGAAAGTGCGTGCCAGGATGCGTTAGTTCGAACCAAACCCCTTGGTTCGAACTAACATTACTCCTCATTTTTTGAGGAGTGTTGAAAGAGCACTTTTTTCTGAAATTTGGCACTGTGCAGACGTGCCAAATTTCAGAAAAGCCTCTTTCAATATTAAAGCGGAAAAATATATGCAATTTGTGTACTGTAAATTGCATTTCTTTTTCCAACTTACCACTGTAGTGTAGACCTAGCGTTAGGAAGCTATTCCACTCTGGATAAATAATAGAAAAGGGATTGGAGCAGAAGGACTGGACTCTGGATCTCCCAAAGGGGAATCCCAATGAAAAGGCTACTGCATTATTATTCTTTTGTGCACACACAAAAATTCCATAATTCAGTGGTTAGCCCACCCGCCTGAGCCATAGAAAACTCCAATCCAAATCCTCTCTTCTTCTCTGTCTGTGGGGAGAACTGATCCTGGGTCTTCTATAGCTCCAGTGAGTGCTGTAGCCACTGGACTGGAGATCACACAACAGACAGCACCACCACTGTGTGCAGTGTCAGGCACTAGGGCTGCAAAAGGTTAGCCTAATACCAACTGGTTAACCAGTTAACTGGACCTTAACCATTAATCCAGTGCCCCGCCAGCCATGCCAGGTTGGAACACCTCTGGCAGCCTCTGACTAATGGGACCCCAACCCCACAGCCCTATCAAAAGAGCAGCCAGGCTATCCTGCACTAGGGATGTAATCTTGTGAGCGTTTAAACAGTTAACCGATAAGCATGAGCAGGGCGCGGGAGCCGGTGCATGCTGGAAGCCAACTTAAAAGCCGGCTTCCGGCACACACCAGCTCCCAAGGAGCTGGCTGCGCTGTGGGCTCAGCAGTATAAGCTTAATATTGCAGAGCCTGCACCGTGTAACTGCTAAGATTTTTTCTAACAGCTACGTGGTCACTTAATTAACCACTTTTTAACATCCCTATCCTGCACCAGCTATTCAGCTAACCAGTTAAATAACAGTAATCGAGTAACCAATCGCGTAACCAGTTTTAACAGGTATTTACTTCCCTATAAGGCCCCCGCCTACCTCATTCTCGCAAAAAGCCATTCAACTGGCTAAGCTGCTTGGCTCTGGGGCTACGTCTACACTGCAATGCTATTTTGGGATACTGGAGTATCCTGAAATAGCTATCCTGCATCTTCACAGCAAGCCCATTAATTCAATATATAATGGCTTGCTATTCCGATGTCCCTGTAAACCTCATTTCAGGAGGAGCAAGGGACGTTTTGGAACAGCAGGCTAGTTCAAAATTTGGCACTGTGTAGACAGCACCAAAGTCTAAAATAAGCTATTTCAAAATAAGATTGAAATAAGCCATCCAATTTACATAGCATAAATTGTGTATCTTATTTCGAGCTATGGCGCAGCATAGACACACCAGGAGAGCAGTTCCCATTTGTCAATCACTAGCAAAGACAGGAACCTATTTCAGAGAGCGAGGCAGGGCTTAGCCTACACATCTCTCCAACCCCATCTCCCATGGGCTAGATTAGGCAGCTCCCCGCCTGGCGTGCTGGCTTTTGTGAATCGCATGCTTGGGTGTCAGTCTCATTGTACAGGAGCCTCGGCACTTCACTCAGGCTTTGTGAATTGCAGTGTGTTCCTCCAGATTTTCTACTTGCCTCAAAGTTAGGTGTTGCAACACTGGAATACCTGTCGAATACAGGCCAGAGCTTCAGCAGGCCACAACCTGGTCCTCCTTCCAGCAGCAGAAATGGGAGACCCAAGTGGTACCTCGCAGCATTTCCCCCTCGCTCTGGAAGTTACACTGTAAATGGGGGGCATCTTGTAGCCCCTAATGCCTATCCATGATTTGAGGACTTTAGTAACTTAGCTGAGGGGTTGACAGCTTCCTCAGGCAAGCTGTGTGGGGGTGCCCAGCTTTGCACCCCAGAAAGGAACAGGGATTTGGGCTGACGGGGCAAGCCGGCCCTTAGTACCCCCCTGGACCACAGCATTCCCCCCTCCCAGCCTCCAGGAGTTGTGCAGAGCATGGTGTGGTGCTCTGGTGGTGATTTAAAGGGCCCCAGCCACTGACCCCAGCCTCTAGGCAACTACCTCATTTGTCCCCCGTCAGCAGGCCTGAACTCAGCTAAGTAGTAGGGGTCTATTGCAAGAGTGGGTGAGTGAGGTTCTGTGAGCAGGCTGTCAGACTAGATGACCGTTATGGTCCCTTCTGGCCATAAAGTCTAGGAATGCTTACCTGAAGTCCAGCTCTAGGTTCTACATTGTAAGACCAGCATACTGGGCTTACTCACTAGAAGGGCACAGTATTCCCACCTCCATTGCTGTCATGTTCACTAGAGAAGAGTCATTCCAACCAGGAGAGAATCCAAGATGCCTTTTATCCTTCCCTGTGCCTGCCCTTTATACCCATGCCACCTGAAGCAGGAAGTGCAAATTAAGAGTGAAATGTACAAGGTCTTGAATTGCTTTATCCCAGAGTCAACTGGGAGTGAAGTGTTTGTTCTTCCTCCGATACACTCCGGAGGCATGGAATCTGCCTCATGATTTTGGTTCTTCTTGCCAGATCCATACCTTACTGACGATAAAGAGGTCCTCTCGTTTCACAACCCCTTCTTTGATTTTCTGCTGGATCCCCTCCCCTACTTCATTCTCATTCTGGTACACGTAGGCACAGTCGATGTGGCGATATCCAGTATCAAGGGCAGCCATCACTGCATCCTTTACTTTCCCTGGTGGAGACTAAGAATAATAAAAAAAAATTAAAAAACCCAATGAATGGGCACTGCAAAATATCCCATTTCCTAGGTGGCTAGAGGCTCAAAAGACCCCCAATACAGTAAACTTCCGATAATCCAGCACCTTTAGGACCCAGGGGTGCCGGATTATCAGATATGCCGGCCTATCAGAAGGGGGGCTGAGTGGTCTGGGGTGGGGTGGGGGGGTGCCACCCCAGACCCCTCATAGCCCCCCCTTCCAACTCTGTCCCAGGGGTCCCCAATTCAGCCACTGCTGGTCAGTTTCAGCAGCAGCTGAATCGGGGATGCCTGCGGCAGAGCAGCTCGGGTGCTGCCGGGTTGGTCCAGTAGCGCCGCCCCTCAGCGCTGTGAGACCAACCCATCAAAATGTTATACCAAATAAAAGCAAGCAGGATCTTATGAGGGGGATAAGGTAAAAAGCCACATTTATTGTAAAGATAATAATAAAAAAATAAAGAAAAGATAGAAGCAAACAACGTTCTTAGTGAAGGTGCTGGATCATCAGGAGTGCCGGAGCAATGGATGCTGGACTAATGGAGTTTTACTGTACTTTATTTCTTCCATGCTGTACACCTCCCAGGGATCTGGGCACTTGCAACCACAACAATAAAGTGCCTCTCTGAGGTTGCCTGGTAAATATCATCATTGACTATACATAACAATCCCTATAAGAATCCATCCTTCACCTCACATGCATCACTTAGCAAAATAAAGCTGTCTTTCACCAGGACCCTGCTCTGAAGAGCTGTCAAGGAGTGATCTCTGTGTGAGTGGGCTCTTTAGCCACACCCTTCGACTAGTCCTAGGAAAAGGGCTATCTTGGGAACAAACGTTCCAGCTGAGCATATGGGAGGCAGTACAGTGCATTGGGAAAGGCAAGGGACAGAGAATCAGGTAACTTAAGTTCTGTGTGATGCTGGGCAGACTTGATTTCTGTCCCTCAGTGTCCCCATCTGTAAAGTGAGGATACCAATAATAATCTTTATGGTAAAAGTTTCTCAGCTAGACAGACAAGAAGTGCTATTGAAGAGCTACGTATTAAAGATCAGAAAGGGAAGTGTCATACAAAAGAGGAGGCTGGGGAAATTCAGAAGCTTCCTGACCGTTGAAAGACTGGAAGCACTACTTTGAAAAGAGAATAGGTGGCAAGAAGTAATGTGGCAGATGTACAGACTACAGAGGGAAGATTTCAAATGTTCTTTAAAATGCTAACAAAAAGAGAGCTTTTCTAGAGAGGGTTAGCTCAAGGTACAGCAAGGGAGTCACTTAGGGTATGTCTACACTACCCCGCTAGTTCGAACTAGCGGGGTAGTGTAGACATACCCCTTGTTTTCCTTTATTCCCGTAGCTAGTTTAAGCTCATTTTGTGCCTTTGCCTTTCTGATCTTGCCCTGCATTCCTGTGTTGTTTGCCTGTATTTATCCTTTGTAATTTGTCCTACTTTCCATTTTTTATATGACTCCTTTTTATTTTTAGATCATGCAAGATCTCGTGGTTAAGCCAAGGCGGTCTTTTGCCATTTGTCTTTATTAAACTTCAAGCGTAGCATGGTAGAAAGGCGGTAAAGTAATATTAATATAGAATTCTATTACACTACCTTTTTTCTAGGAGTCAGTCCTGGGGCTGGTAGTATTGAATATTTTCATTAATGCCTTGGGGTATGTCTACACTACCCCGCTAGTTCGAACTAGCGGGGTAGTGTAGACATACCCTTAAGTACCAATGACCAGCCCTCTTTCTTTGAATCCTTGCACTTGGGCATGGCAGTTGAAATTGATTTTCTCCAGGGAAGTGTTAAGCATTTCCCCCACCAGCCATGGTGATCTATTCATTCTGAACTATTGCAGATCAGGAACTTGTGCCTCAGGGCACATGGCTAGACAACAAGATGTCAGTGGATATCTTGCTATGAACCAATATTAGATTTCAGAGTCTGCGGTGTGTATTAGACAACGAAATTAGAACATTTTGCTCAAGGAAAAAAAAAACCTGGACAGGTATTACATAAACCCAACTGATGCTCAAAAGTTGCTTGAAATATTGAGTTTGCTTAAAACACTAGCTTGCTGCTCTCAAAAAGGTAAAAATATGCAGATACTGGATTTCAAGCGATGCTATGGTATATCCTGCCCCCCTAGCACTTGGGGCTTGAATAAGGAGCAGGAGTATGTGAGCCTCAGCCAGTGAGAAAGGAGAAAGACAGAAGGAAATTTACTTGAATACACAGTGGACAATATGACATACTGTTCTGCAAGTCAACTATTGTATTCTATTGTAGCATGCTATTTGAAATAGCATTTTGCAGGATCATATGACATTCATCTTTGCAGAACCACATAATGTAGATGTGGAGCTCTGTTGTAAAAATAGTACTATATAAATCTGTGTGGAATACAGAAGGGCATCACAAACAGAAAGCACTGGTAAAGTCAATGACATTTTAGCAAAATCCTTTGTGACAGATTTGCCACATCTCTAATATCTCCAGTCCTGCTTTGTGCTTTAGTAGGCCTTTTCAAGAGAGACATTCATCCTTTCAACACCCTGTAAAGTAGGTCAGATGAAAAAGCAAGGCATAAACATTTTCCTCAAAGTCACACACAAATCTGAAGTCTGAATTAGGAACAGAACCCAGAAATCTAAACTCCTGGCTGTATTAACTAAAAATCACAATTCTTGCTGTTTCTTCCCCTGCCCCCTCTGGAAACAGTATGGGTTGCTATTTATGAAGCACCAGTCATACACAGTACAATGTACAATATACACAGTCCCTGCCCTGAATTTTCTAGAAACTACCCTTCTACTTTCACCTTTAAAGAGATACTGACAAATAGCATGATGCTCAAAAATGATACTTATTTTAAAAATAAGTAATAAAAAAAATCTAAGGCCAATAAAAAAAATCTTTAAAGGTCAATAAAAACAGTTGTTTTAAACAAAGAAAAGTTCTCCTGCAGCCTCTGAAACCCACACATTGCAGAAGAACCTAAAAGTGAAACTGACTTCATTCGCTTTCAACCGATTTTCATCCAACCAGCCAGAAGTGCTAAAAAGGAAACTTAAGCATTGAGAAGGAAATTGAGTGTTTAAAAGGCTCTCTTTTTTTAAACAGGGTGAGCTAAGAGAGGCAAAGAATCCGGGCCAGGATACGCTATTTTTAAGTGTGCCTCTTTAAATAGGTCAGCCCATTTTCTAGACCACTTCTGGGAGTGCAAGAAGCCTTTGCACTCCTTCTCCCAGCACCCGCGATAAAACGCATGGATTTAACGCGAGCCGCCATGCGCCCAACAACTTTGTCTAGCAAGTCTCAGAGACAGCCAGGGCTGTGGCGCGTAGGCGACACACCAGAGGTTACATAATGCCCGAGAGCCATTCAGGGGGTGGCACAGACCGCAGCTAGACCCCCCGCCCCCATTGCATCTCAAGCCCTGCAGACGCATTACGGGGCAGGAGGCTTTTCGTGGGGGGAAAGGGGGTTGCCACAAGCAACCCAGTTCTTAGGCTTAATCGCTGAGGAGCTCCCCAGTGCTCAGGAGGAGCTGGGGGCGGCGGGGGGAGGGGGGGCAGAGCCATTCAGGGGGTGGCACAGACCGCAGCTAGACCCCCCGCCCCCATTGCATCTCAAGCCCTGCAGACGCATTACGGGGCAGGAGGCTTTTCGTGGGGGGAAAGGGGGTTGCCACAAGCAACCCAGTTCTTAGGCTTAATCGCTGAGGAGCTCCCCAGTGCTCAGGAGGAGCTGGGGGCGGCGGGGGGAGGGGGGGCTGCCTAGGGAGGGGACCACCTGCAAACAGAGCAGCAGTTCCGCACGCAGCGATGCACGATGCAAAGGCGCGGGCGCTGCTGGCCGCTTGGTCCCATGCACGAGAGCCCGCCGCCTGCAATTGCTCTACCTTCCAGGTGCCCAGCCCCAGGATGGGCATCTTGGCCTTGGTGTTCAGCGCCACGTAGCTCGCCATGACTTCGCAGCAGCTCCTCCACCTCCCCCTGACTCCCGGCCCGGGGAGAAGAAGCAGCCGCCACCCCCCCTTTAATAGAGCCAGGCTCCGCCCCAGCAGCTGGTCTCCGGGTAGCAGCAGCGGGCGGGGAAAGCGGGGAGGTGGGAGCAGCAGCAGCTGCCTCTCTCTCCCCTGCCTCCAGCCAGAGCAGCCCGCTCTGTGCGCGGCGCAGTGCTGGCTGGCCGGGCAGGCTGTGGGCATGTGTCTTCGTGCAGCATTCACTGCAAGGGCTGCCCAGATCTTGCCTAAATTGCCTGCGGCCTCCTTACTGTTGCATGGTCCAGCTCCCGGGTTGGGATTTTCTGCGGAGTGATCCAGAGTAGCTTGCAGATTCCTCCCGCCCCCCAGTTCATTCAGGCCCCCAGGCCAGACGGTGGAGGCTAATTTCTGCTGAGAACTGCAAAAGCCCAGGTAGTGTGTGACTCCTCTTTCTATTCTGGAAGGCAAAGAGCCAGGCGGAGCCATCTACAAAACTTTGGGCGGGATCAGAAGTGAGCATACCCAAGTCCTTCAGCACCACTGAGGAAAGGCCGGATCAACACGGGGGCTACCTCTACATTGGCATGATCTTGTGCAAATACTCTTTAACACAAGAGTTCTTGCGTTAAAGTATTTGTGCTAGAGAGCGTCTACACTGGCATGTGCCTTTGTGCAAGAGATGTGCTTTTGCGCAAGAGCATCCGTGCCAGTGTAGATGCTCTCTTGCACAAGAAAGCTCCGATGGCCATTTTAGCCATCAGGCTTTCTTGCACAAGAAATTCATGTTGCTTGTCTACACTGGCCTCTTGTGCAAGAACAGTTGCGCAAGAGGGCTTATTCCTGAGTGGGAGCATCATAGTTCTTGCACAAGAAGCACCAATTTCACACATTAGAATATCAGTGTTCTTGCGCAAGAACTCGCCGCCAGTGTATCCAGGCAGCATGTTTTTGTGCAAAAGCGGCCGCTTTGGCGCAAGATCATGCCAATGTAGACACAGCCAATGTATGTGTAAGGTCTAATCTCTTGAATATCCCCCTCACTGCACCCATATAGATTAACGTGGAAACTAGAAACTGGTGCAGTAGCACCATTAACTTTCTTCACTAGGGGGATGAATGGAAGAAGATCTATTAATGGCTAACCTTTCCCCATCTCCCACTCATTATTCCTTCCAGATCTACGGTTTCAAAAGTGCCCTCTCATTTCAGGTAACTCCGTTTTGGGGAACCCAATTGTAGAAACAACAGAAACTCAAAATTAGGACCCGAAATTAGGGGCCACTTTTGAAAATGTGTGTCTGGTAGAGGCACTTGCTAGCTTGCTGCTCCTTCCCTCATTATTTTGTTGCTATCCTGATGCAATGGCAGTGGAATAGAGATGATGCTTCTGAAATTACATTGCTCTTTATTGAATTTTTATCTTTTTTTAAAATTTGTAACAAAGCCACAGCCACCTAGAATTCTTTAGTAGCCATTATGAGGCACAGCTTGGTCAATCAGAACTTCCAGGCGATAGGCTGAAAGAGAAGGTGATCAGGCCACTAATATTTTCTGGGCTGTGTGAAAGCTATTGCCCAGATTGATTGAACCCACCAGCCCAATTTAGGTGTCTACTGTCCAATGCTATAAACAAATGCAGCTCACAAACCTGTTCTGCACAAAAGGGATCCCACTCCTAACATAATCTGTGCCTATCTTTTCATCTTATCTCATTACCATATTACTCTTTCATATTAGTGTGCAGTATACTTGATTAAGGGTAGTGTGGCTCGGGAATGAGAGGTTTAAAGGGGAGATATCCATAAAAATAATCTATCATTTAAAGAGAGGCCAACAATGTGATTTTTTAAAAATATGTGCGCACAGTTCTACATGAGTCACTTTAAGAAAAAAGGTGAGATTTGTAAATAGCACTAAGCATTGGCTTCACTCTGCTCCCACTGAAGTGAGAGTTGACTTAGGCCAGGTCTACAATACAGAGGAAGGTTTAATTAAGATACATAACTCCAGCTATGTTAATTATGTAGCTGGATTCGAAGTACCTTAATTTGAATTTCTGTGAGCAAATGCTCTCATCAATTTCCCTTACTCCCAGAGCCGGCCCAAGCTATGGGCTGCCCGGGCTACTGCCTGGGGCTCCCCATTGTAGGGGGTGCCATGCGGGGCTGCCCAACCTGATGGGGGCAGGGTTGCGCATGTGCCGGTGCCTCGGAATGGGGCTGCGCATGTGCTGAACTCCCGGGGGCAGCACTGCGCTCCTGGGGCCTGGGGCGCATGAATGGCTCAGGCCGGCTCCACTTACTCCTCATGAGGAGCAGAGTACTGGCACCAAAGAGGGCACCCTCTGAGTTTGATTTAACAGGTCTTAACTAAACCCACTAAATCAAACTCTGGAAGATTGACCACGACAGCCTCAATTTTCCACATAGTGAAGACAGGACCTTAGGAGCAGAATTTGGTCTACTCTGAATACCTTTCAAAATCCTAGTCAATATTCTACTTCACCACTGCATTACTCTCTTTTTTTGCTCTTGTGATGCCATTAATTTTAATGGAGTTGTATTGGCATTAAACTGGAGTGATGTGATGGTGAATCCCACCCTAAAACTGCTCTAGCTTCCCACTTCCACACTTGCTTTGTGCAAGTACCTCATTTTCTCATTCACCGAATGCCAAGTTAGTGCCAGTTAAATATCTCTATCACTTAGACACTATTGCTCATCATTTTGTACCTGGCACATCTAGTATATCTTTGAGAGAGTTTGTTTGTCTGTGAGTCTGTGTATCTGCAGGTTCAAGAACTCCTCCTAAATGGTAAGAGCTAGGCCACCAAATTTGGTATACAGCTTTCCCTTATTGTAACTAAAAGCAAGGTAAAGGGTTGGTTGTGCCAGGAAAATGGGATGTGCCCAGAATAGAACTGCTTCTCATAAAATCATACAGAAAAGAGACAGACTCAACAAGTAGGTGAAAGGAGCTGGCTGAGGGTGCACCCACCCCTCATCTAGGATTGCCCCAACCCTGAGCATCCCACTTCCCAGGCAGTCTTTACCGAGGGAGGGGCTGAAGTCTCCCCCCCCCCCCATTCATACAGGAACATTGCTGGTTGTTCCCCTTCATCAGGGAGCGAGGGAAAGTGCACAGTTTGCTGCATGTCTCACTCTGGCTGGTGAATGCAGATAGCAGACAAAGCTGGACATTCACCCCTTCCCCAGCTGTGCCTGCTATAACTGCAACTGAAGAGGTGCTTCTCACCTGCCCCCAAGCTACTGTGGTGAGAGAGGGCTGGGTAGTCCTCTCTCTTCCCAGGAAGCCTCCATACTGAACCCCTCATCCCAAGCCTCACCCCAGAGCAATGATTTAGATGAAGAAAAACAAAAGTGAATTGAGTTAAGGACCTGAGCACCACCAGGTAAATCTTTTAGTAATCTATATGCCCATTTACATGACAAATTGACTTTGGCCCCTCCTTTTTAATTTAGGCAGAAACTAAAAGGCACAACCCAATTGTGTAAACAAAGATAATAACCTTTCTTCCACTCTCAGACTCTGTTTATGCTTGAAATGAACCATTTAAAAATCAAGGAGTCAAAACTAATGTCAAGTTTCCTTTGCAATGTTTTAATAAACCTTCAGAATCTTCCTGAGTATTTTAATCCTTATCAAAATGCTGACTCACAGTGTGTAATATTTTTCATGTTTGCATAATGCTTTGACCTGTAAAGCAAAGTGCTTCATATTATTTATATTTGGCTCAAGGTTGAAAGGTTTTGAGCACCTGTAATTCACAATCAGCATATCTTGAAATTCAGCTCTTATCTCATTACCCTTTCATCTCAGGGCCCCATAACTACTTCACAAGTTAAGAACCCATCCTTGCACCTTTGAATTCATTGGGCGCTATGACACTGACTTCAAATTCTTGAAATATTGTTACGGCAGGAGTCAGATTGTCTGCCAAGTTCTTTTTCTTAGTACATGTCCTTTTTCTTTTGAGATGGTCCATACAGTATTCTCATAGTATTTCTCGATGGGGGAACCACTGTAGGCCACAGGAGAGCTTTTCTCTCCCCGAGGGCTCCTCTAGACTATGCGGAAGAGGATATGCACATATCCACAGATATGCAAATATGCAAAGTGGAGCTTTTGAAAGTGAAAGTAGTCAAGATGCGTTTTTTTTCCGGCAAACCTCCCCCTTTTTCAAAAGGTAGCTTTTCCGCAACAAATGAGGTTTACACGGCTTTTTGAAAAGGGGGGGGGGGGCGGAATTGCTGAAAACCCCCCGTGTCTTGACTACTTTCACTTTCAAAAGCTCCACTTTGCATATTTGCATATCCTCTTTCGAATCTTCCGCATAGTCTAGATGAGCCTTGAATCCCTCTATGCAGAGTTTGTTCCTGAGGAAGACTTGTTCCTTGGGAACTAGGCTTTGGCATTTGGGCTTCGATGCCTGAAAGAGGAATTTCCCTGTGTGTCATTTGTGATCACTTTTTTAAAAAGACCAATAGAGAAAGTAAAATAAAAAAAAGTTGCACTTGAGACCACACCCAGACTCTGTGTCCTCCAGTGGGAAGCTGGTCTGCAAAGCCCAGGCATCTGCTACTGCTTTGTAGAAGGGTGACAACCTATGCAAAGAAACACCCCAGTTAGGGCAGGAAGGAGGCAGACTATGATTGCCCAAAGTGGAATTTGTCGAGGTTGCCAGGATTAATCTCTCTTACTTAGGCAAAATGTGCCATGGAAAGGCCATGACTGCACACAGAGCCTGGTCCAGCTCCCGGAAAAATCAATAGGAGCAGGAAGTGTCCCATGGGGCTAAATCCTGCACCACTGAATTCAACAGGAGCTTTCTGATTGACTTCAGTGAATGCCAGCATCAGACCCAAGGTGCGCACATTGATTTTTCCATTTAAATTGAGAGACTGGCTTATGGTTAAATACCTCTTAATGCCATCACCAGTATTGGGAGCAAACACATATTTTGGCCTGACAGAAGGCTGCAGTGAATTTGAAGAGTCTGTTCTGATAATATTTAACAGCGCAAGCATAAGTAGAAGTGTATCTGTGGAAGAAATTGCAGAATAACTATGTGAAATCAAGCAAAGAGAAAACAACTAAAAAAG